TCGACTTCAATACCTACAATACACGTGGTTCTCGTTTTTGAGCAAGTTAAAACATCCCCGTTGCCCCGTCCGCTCCAGAACACCAGTCTCACTATCTTACCCGCCTACGAACGGAGCAGCTCGAGCGGTGTTCTACTTCACCCATTGATATCTATGCGGGGTTGCTTTGCCACAGCAGAACATCCACCTCAGCTTCCACCCAACCCAACCCCCTGCGTCGCTGCATTACTTTCCGCCTCCGTCTCGCATCACAGGCCAGGACATGCCTACACAAGGTGGTCTGGTGGTTCAGCCAGGGAAATTTTTCCATCTGAATGTTACGAACTCGGGACTTTGAACGGGGCGATGGAGCTAGCTGATGCAGTGGAGTAAGACTTTCTCCGTCTAAGCCTATCAAACCTGAGGGAGATCGGTTTGATCCAACTCGGTAATACTTGTGATAGCGCTTGCATGTTGTTTTCCATCCAACTCGGTTGACTAGTTCCTCGGTCAGCCCCGCTCCACAGTCGACTCCCGAGCGCGCTGTGAACGCCATCAAAACAGTGAACCTCTGTACAAGTAGGCCGCCTCCTTGTATTCCCCTTCGTATTTTGACTGGTCCCGTCCTCTCCGAGAGCATTTTGGGGCACCAAATGGGCTCACCCACTTGTGGTCCCTCTCCCCACCTGGTAAGCAGCTGCGAATGTCTGGGGGAATGCATTGGGGGCCAGCTCCGTTGAGTCTTCTTTTTGCCCTCCTTCACCTCGCACCTCTCGCCAAGCCCGTCAGTCGTCATCCTTTCGAACCTATTTTCTTGACCTCGTCGCGAGCATTCTCTTTCATCTTCTCATTGCACTTGCCCTGGTTAATGGGTCTCAAAAACCACATCAACAAAGGGAACTTCGGGAGCGGGATCCGAGGATCAGCTCCCTGCGAAGCAGTTACTCAAAGCCCCTCCCTGAAGTGGCCCCCTTCTGGCTTGACCCCACCCTCTGCGACCCTCTTTGCCTCTCTCCCCACAACAGACAAGACTGGAGGCCACACAACATCTTGTCGTCCTCGCAAATCGAGGGTCGAGCACAGCTTTTTCACACTGGGAGTGTGGGCCGGTATAACTGGGAGCAATAATATGTCCGAATCCGCTCAAAGCTGCACAAAAGTGTGACCGCCTTCCTCGACGCCGCTGGTCCCCTAACCCAATCGTATCTCTCCAGCGGGCAAGAGGGATTCGAGATGGGATGCGCACGGGCGACCCCATCCCACCCATGTGGCAAATCTGGCAATTGCGCGATTACTTTTCCGAACTCTTGTGCTGTGTTGAATTATGATGGCTTAGGTGCTCGAGGGACAACATGTAATCTCCATGGTTGCAGTGCTTCCACCTCGATGCACTCCTATTTGCTTTGCTCCTGTGCATCTCCCTTCGGCTGGCTTGATAGGGGTTGGAAGTTTCCCAAACCCCTCATCGACCGGTTAAAGGGTTTACGTACCCGCAGCTTTGGTGATCATCCAACTGTTTTTTTCTATACATACATACATTCATGTACCGAGGTATTCTTCGTATATTCGCAGGCTTAGGGAAGACGGTGAACCCCGTAGGTCCAATCCGAATGATCACTTCCGTATTCGAGGGCAAGGAGGGGTCCGTGATACGTTCGTCGTTGGCAAGCTGCCATCGTCTCTTCAATGAGCCATCCTCTGTCGCTCGGAAGGCAATATCGGAATGAGGAGAACCCATATGCGTGGGTAGCTGGCGAGTATCTTGTTGGCGACGCCTACTCGGCTAACAGACGAGATCGATTAGATTGCGCGACAAGCCGACAGCCCGTGATCGCCGAGGCCAGAAGCGTTCTATAGTTCCCGCAATTCATCCCATCTTGTGAAGGATGCCACCCCATATATTTTCATTTCTACTTACATCCAGTGTGCTTCGAATGATAGTAGATCACACCCCCGCACGGCGGCGTCCCTTACCCTATCCAACGAAACCTCCCGGGGCTGCAAACACCAACAATACACAAATGAGGGAGCATGTCGATGTGGCTCCGACTACGTCTTTTTGTTTCGGACCCCTCCTTTAGAGGACATTGACTTATCGTGTAATTTGTAGCCCTTCTCATATATCCCTACCCGCCCCCATATTTTTTTCTTTTGAATCACCAAGTGCGTCTCATCCTCTTGTCAGCGGCATACGGATAGTATCGCGCGGCCTCGGGATCTCTTTAACCTGGTTCAAAGGTTCCCACTTGACGATCCTCGTTCGAGGTCACTGTATCGAGCAGACGAATGAAATGGCACGCTACGGCCGGCCACCATAGACGAATGCTCCCGAGTGAATGGATGTTATTTTGGCGGTACTTGTCAATTTACCTCGAGTCCTGGGTGGCTAGCCGATAGTAGTTGAAGTGCCGCCTCATCAGGCTCCCGGACGACGAAACAGCGATAGTCTTGAGCCCATACACTTAAACACTTAAACATGAGGAAGAAAATAGAAAGTGGGTATCATCCAGGGTGTGTCCCGGGACCTGAAAGACCCCTAGGTTTCCTTGATGATCCATCTCATCACACTGCTCAGAGCATCCCGTTCGTTGTTTCGAGGAGAACCAGCGACCAGCACCCAGTAAAGCCAAGCTTGCCTCTGGTCGCTGTGAAACCGGGACCCGGATGTGGCCAGTGCAGAGGTCTTGAGACGGTACTGTCGATCTAAAAATACGTACCATCGCCAAGTACCGTGAGCCTCCCGTCTCTCGGCCCACACTTAATACCGGAAACCGCTTTGAGTATTTCCCCGGTTCAATCTGATCTTCAGACGTGATGCGTGGGAATGGAAGACAAAAGACAATACGAGGAGAACAAAAGTAAAAAAGGTCCCATCGTGGTTATTACCGGGCCAGCGCCGACAGCTGGCCGCGATGGTAATGCCCGAGGCACGAGTCCAATGACGCGCCGGCGCTGGACTGGGTCGAGATTGATCAATCCATTGGATCCAAATGGGATGCGCTATAATATTACAAGGAAGAGGGGCAGCAGGATGTTCCCTGGAGGTGAGCGCTAGCCCCTGATGGATCTCGCCAGTTCTCCGAGACGCCCTGATCGCCTCAACTCCCTCCTCTCACTCGGCCAGGGTGGCTTCATCCCTCAGAGCTGAATTTGGCGCGCATCTCCTTCGCCTGGCGGACCGACCTTCCCAAAAGAAAAGGGTCCCGGGGGCTTGTTTCGGCGTCCAGCAGAAGCCCGAACCAATGTCCGACATCCACAGGAACAAACAATTTCTTTCTTCATTCCCAATTCTTGTCCCGTTTCGCTGTCGCCGACTCGAGGTTGCATCTGCGCATCGAGACGAGAGTCTGCCTCAGCTATCAAATGTCAGCCAAGCGCGTGTGAAATAGATTTAATCCGCAATTTTTTTTTTTTTTTTTTTCAGATCCTAAATAACTATAAACAAACGGAAGTAAAAGAGAACATTGAAAGATGAATAAGAAAAGACCCTCGCCCAGGGAAATGGACAGATCGGTGTATCTGGATGCTAGAAGGGCTGAAGTGAGGGAAATAGAACTGAGCCAGTGACGCCTGGACTCGACCGTCCCCTTAACGGCCGACATCATCAATCTACAAGTATCGTCAACTTGAGAACCACATGCGATACTAATGATCATAGATACTCGAGCAGACAGTCTCTTTGCTCTTCAATGGGACTGGATCCTTACAATTCATCTACAGTTCAATTCGCATGTCCACTCATTACACTTCGCATGCAATCTGTCCGCTATGACAAAGTCTGATGGAGGCGGACATTGCCAATTTCCGAGTGTCTTGGGACTATTAATACTCACGCATATAGAAGCAGGCATCGTGACGACACTGCACCCGCCAGGGACCTTTTAGCGCTTATTTTGGAAGGAAAAGAGAAGAAGGGAAAAAGATCGATGCTGATTGCTCGAAAACACGGGCTCTGGTTTGCTCTTCAAAGGAGCATTCAATGATGTTGTCCATGGATGCATCATCGGCCTGTTCAATCCTTGCACCCACGTTGAATGAAATTATTGAATATGCGGGCTCGGCACCGTGTCAATCCATATTAGCTGTATTAGAGACCAGACCGGCGAGATTGCGCAACAACGCGCTGGAATCGCGGATGAATATTATTGAATGGGCTCAATGGGCTCAATGGGGGAGAGGATAATAATAGCGGACAAGATGCATCAGGAAAATAAACCTAATTTTAACTGTCGGAACGCGCCTCTAGCGTTAACAAACTGGATCGATTCAATGCTCACCCCACCAAAATCTGTCCATCGATATTGAGCCAGATGGACTGGACCCATTGACCGAGTGGATTTGTTCACGGCCTTGAAGCTCGGCTTAATGTCCCATCCGCCTTGACTCGACCTGAGAGAGGCTACTTGTAATTTGGTGCTGGAGAACATTCATCCACTTGTTAGTTATATTACGTCCATGTAAGAACTGCTCTTTTCTCGGAGTTTCCAAGTTTCCTAGCACTATGAAGGCTTGACCAGAAACCACCCAACTCTAGCCCAAGAGAATAGCTAGCCATCATTTCCTTGGAAATATTCCTGTATTCGTCTGCTATGCATTCTTACATGTTGTCTATGGCGCTTGCGTGTGTATGTGTGTCTCGTGGGCGGCCATCATTCTTGCCGCTCACACTCGTTTTGTAATGACGGCTGAGAACGGCTGCCAAAATCAGCCGTCTAGCCTCGGCTGGCGGTTTGAGCGAGAAGTGCAGCTCTCTCAAGCTGTCCCATTCGTTACCGCATCCAGTCATCAGCTCCCTCCCAAGCTCATGACATAACCCCATTGCCCGGCCCTTTGACGAGATTCCCCAGGTCCAAGGAACTTTCCTAGCCTATATCATCTCTCGCGCCACAGACCAGCGGCCGCCCGATAAACCAGAAGCTTGCGACGTTGCGCAAGACGGGAACCAGCGCCTGCTCGCAGTTTTTGAGACCACCACATTAACCCCCGCGGCGTCCTCCCTCAACCCCCCCACCTGCTCTCCAATGTCCGGTGGAGCGTCCTCCCGGGGTGCTGCCAAAAGGCTCTTGAAAGAATTGGAGAGGTGGTCAGAGGAATCCAAGGAGGAAACGGGCATCGAGCGCCTTGGGCCCCCAAATGACGAGGACCTGCTCACCTGGGAGGCCGTCATCAATGGCAAGGGTATAGGTGGTGGTTATGACGGTTGGTCCCCCTTCGCGCGCATCCCGCCCCCTCCCCCACTAGTGCCCTGCTCTGACTCGGGAATCTTCTCCTTGGTACGAACAAAAGAGGGCCGGTGGCTTCTCAACATCGAGATACCCTCATCTTATCCTATAGAACCTCCCAAGGTCGAATTCGTCACCCCCGTGGTCCACCCAAACGTCGCCCTCACTACGGGCGAGATCTGCCTCGATCTGCTCAAGACGGCGTGGACGCCAGCTTACAGCATACTCGAAGTTGTACGTGCGATCCGCATGCTCCTCTCATGCCCGGAAACGGACAGTCCCCTCAACGTTGATGTCGCGGCGCTGCTGAGGGGCGGTGACGCCGTAGGCGGCAAGGCCCTCGTGGAGCTTTGGTGTAAGGGCGAGGAGGGCAGGTATGATGGCCCTTGAGTGGTTCCGTCTCTCCTTAGATGATTGTTGTCAAGTTACCGTGTACGGCGACTGGGAGGTTGGTTTGCGTTCATTGCCTTCTGTTGGCGTCAGGCACAGCTGCGGATATTCGCTTTTTCTTCTTTTTTACCCACCCTTTCTTTCCTCTTGTTAGTTTTGATACTCGCTATCTGTCGCTTGGGTCGGATTATTGTGAACACATCGGCACTCCATAATCGAGGCCGCCCATATATATTTCATTTGAGGAAGCTAGAGCAAGCAGAATGTATGTCATTTCGTTCTACCACGGGAAATGTCTAGTTCGCAGAATTCATCTTACAGGATGAACTTCGATTTGTATGGGAACCAAAGAAAAAGAAAAACCCAACCGCCACGCAACATATGTGTCGTGATCTTGCCCTGAGACGCCATCCAAGGCTCCTCTATCAAACAAACGTGTTTTTAAAAAAGACCCCTTTTATAATCAAACAGCGCACATGTCGTCAACGTCCCGTTTCTTCCCTCTAATCCCACTCATCACCCCTCCGGGATCCTCATCCTTACATCTTCCGCTAGCTTAGAGATGTGCCTGCTCTGGCACCCGGCTTCTATCAGACTCAACTTGAACTGATATTTGACTCATGAGAAGGGGTACTGGTTTCAGTACTCCCTAAGGAAATGGCACAGGTTGATACCACCATTACATAGGAAAAGTCAAGCCTTGAGGAGGCAAGACGCGATAAGCGAGCGCCAGTTCACGGGGCGATGGTTAGGATAGCGCAAGTAGCAGCTGTGCGCACAACGCCATGGTGTGAAAGATGGCGGCCGTATTCATCCAAGATGACTACTCGTTGTAATGGTACACCTATAGACGTTATTATGTTAGCATGAGAAACAGAGACAAGGAATTGATAGGGTTCGGCGTACCTTGTAGTTGGGGAGGCCCGTTGCCTTCCACCCTAATCGTTTTGCCATTTTGGCGAAACCTTCCGTTTCGATGAGGTGGTAGAAGGAGAACGCTGGGAACATGGCGCCATCCCGGTGAACATCGGCCTTTACTAGGAGCGTAGCTCCACCAACCCCATCAATAGGCATCTCAGTATGAATATTGCCACCGTCTGAGAGGTGAGCCATAAGAGTTCGGTAAGTTGGCAGCTCAGCGTACCCTTCGACGAGGATATCATCTGGACCCATCTGAGCTGCGAGCTTCTGGGCGGCTTCGCTGTCTTGCCAATTGTTAAAATCGTAGGGTCGTTCGTCCATCTTGCCCGTTTTGGGGTCCTTGAATCGCTGGAAGCAATTGGGGGCAATCAGAGGTTTATCGTGGCTCGCCAGATCCTGGATTAGTGTTGGTGGGGATTCGACAATATCTGCATCGAGCCAAAGAACCCAGGAAGTCAAAGGGCCAAGGGTTGTGAATAGAAGGGAATTCCTCGCCTTCGCCATGACCGCGCGGCGCGCCTTTGATGTTCAAGCTTGTGCCTCTCGCTCTCGTCTTGGGAAGCGAGGACGGGATCAAAATCTTGCCTCAGAATAGTAACCATGTTGAATCGATCCTTTTCCGGTCCCTTTTGTGTCTTGATAACCTGCTTCTGTAGGGCGGCGGTGGCGGCGTTTCCCTCCTTCGTCTTGGGCAGGATGAAGCCGAGTGTGATGAGCTCGTGCGGGTACGAGAGCTTCAGAAGATTGTCCCAGTAGTCCTGATAGAACCTCGTCATGGGGGTGAGGATGAGGACAGACTCGCGATTGGCGACCGGATCGCTGGTTATGGTGACATTGTTAAGATTGTAGATGGTAACGGGGGTGCCTTTGCAGGAATATTCTTTGATAGCCGTTTCGGATTGCTTTTCGACGACTGGCCAGCTGTTCGGTTGCCAGTGGGGAGGAGAAGAAGAAGTAAAAGATGAAGAGGAAGGTGATGACACCGACAACGAGTGTAACCGAGTTCGTTCGTCTCAGACGAACTGCTCCAAGTGGCCTAGCCATGGCTTGCTCACCAGATTATGTTGCGATTCGACCTTGACGGTTCGTGCCGTCTCTTGCTCCCCAAGCCCGTCTAAAAGGAAAGAGAAAGGGGTCCCTTGATGGGCTACCTCGACGTCGTTCGTAGGTTAGGAGTTGTATGCATCGGGAGTGGGCACGACGCTCAGGTAGGGACACGACTTCTACACAGCTCGCGCAGGGTTCGTTCGATCGAGAAATCGGTAGCGACGATGGCGACGAGAGATTCCCAGCCCAAGGCCCAGATTCTAGCCGTATCGAAGGGTGAAAAAGTCGTGAATGGAAGACGGGACCGCAACTGAGCCGTCTGCTTGACCGTGCTGTCAAGGGCTGAAAAAAAAGCTGATGAGGAAAGAATAGTAATATTGATGCAGTCAAGTTCAATAGGGGCCAGTGCCAAGACAACGGGAGATCAGTACATAGAAACCTCGGGGCGGCTGGTGCTGGGGATCGGTATTGATACCGAATCAAAAGAAGACCAGATATATTGGATGTCGGTACTTTGCGCCTCCCTCGAATAATAACTTTCGTGTCGATCTGTACATCTGTACTTCTGTCCTGTCATACTTCAGAAGCAAATCCGGGTTATGGATGTACTCCGTATGGATAAGGTCAGCCCCGTAGTTTTGGCCCAGTGTGGCAACCTCCATTGATCAAACCCACAAGCGACAGCAGCTCATCTCTTTGTTGCGCTGGCTTTTCCCGTATTTGCACCAGGCGCAGGGGTTCACTTCAGGGACACACCATTGGCTCTTTCTGGAAATGGGGGTTTGGAACCCCCTTGCCCCCTTTTCCACCACGGTATCATTCTGGCCTTTTACTACGAAGTATTCGCGATGTAATGGATCAATTGATTGAACCATTAGCTCTCGCCGTGAGGGAAAAGAGTCGCCATTAATTGACCTGATGCCAGCCCCTCAGCTATTGATGTTACCCCTAGCTCGCAAAGCTGATTTTTGCCCACTGAGCTTGCTGCTTGGTCTCAAGTAAGGGCAGCACTGAGGTTATCTAATCGTCAACTGGTGGTGTTGGGGCGGGGTGCTGTTAACAGCGAGCGATACACCTCAACGACGAACTAGTTTTTGAGCTATCTTGGGCCAACGCAAAGTCGTCAAGGACATCCAAGAATCAACCAGGGGAATTACCGATTCTTCATTTCGATCTGTGGTATAATGCGCTTTACCTATGAACACATATATCTTCCACTCAATAGACTAGAATAGAATTCAATGTTGCTCAAAAAGTATCTTAGGGAAGTTGAAAACGTACGCGGCGTGTTTCGTGTGTGGGGGCTTGTTGACCATCCCACAGCTGGTGACAGCTGGAGGCAAGAATGGCCATCAAATACGCGCTCCACGAGGACTATTCTTAGACGCGGTGGCTCAGCTCCCAATCCCACCCCAGTCAGGACCTTGGCCTCGCTCACACAAATGTTTGACTTGGAGATGATGCAAGGCACACCACAACACAAGCTCTACTAGTGCCGTCGCATTACCCATCAAGCCTGAACCTCTCTACCGCTGACACAGATCGAATTTTGAGAGACGCACCGAACCGCCTAGAGTCTCTTTCCTACCAGAATTCTTCTCTCGACTTAGCATTGCTTGCTACGCATTGGCTCCTTGACCATGTCTGACAAGCTAGATCGCAGCCTTGATGAGCTCTTAGACGAGAGAGTACGCAGCTCCGACAGACCCTAATTTGAAAGTAACCTCATTTTGCAGCATCTGCTAACATCAAGTTTTACTGAAGAAATCGACGAACCGTGGCCGGCGCGGCGGCGGCGGCAATGGCGGCGGTGGTAACAACAGTGGCGGCGGCAGCAATCGACCCAATCGAAGACAGGATCGGGATAGGCAGGACTCCTATCCTCGCGACGGCGTCAGAAAGGTACGATTCGATGTTTCGGCTCCCATCGCATCTCTCTCCTTCGATTACTGGGCGCGGTAGTTTGACCTCATAATACTGCTCCCTCTGGCTTCACTGGAGCGGGCGGCGCGAGAACATTTTCTATCGGGCTATCGCCCCATTACACATGGACCCTGCGTCCTCGGGGTCGGAGTTGGAGGTATTCGCCGCTAACAAAGCCCGTCGTTCAAAACAACAGTCATATAGCCGCGACGAACCGAGGAATATTGATAGGTCCGTCCATCGTATCTACGCCCTCCGAAATGCATGCTGCGATCGTCCTAACCGTTGTGTAGCGAATGGGTTCATGACAAATATGAAGATCAAGGTAGACCTAGCCCTGTCTCTGCATACAAGTAGGTGTGAGAGCTCTTAGAACTTCTGAAACTAACTAGTCTTGCCCTTATTAGAACGCCGAAATGCACCTGCTCCAAGGCGCCGACGTGAGCCTGCTGGAACCTCATCAAGGTAATATCGAAAGCCTGTGCTAGTAATCGCCCTATATGTCCAGGCGCTAACGAACGGAGCACAACTAGTGACGTCCAAGGCACCAGGCTCCGCGTCGAGAACATTCACTACGAGCTGACGGAGAAAGAACTCGAGGTATGGGCCGCGGCTATATAATTGTCCATTCTATCCATCGTCCTCACACTATGCTAGGAACTATTCAAAAAATCGGCCCCGTGGCCAAGTTTAACCTGTGCTACGACCGTGCCGGACGGTCCGAGGGTGTCGCGTTTGTCACGTATCAACACCGAGACGATGCCACTACTGCCATCCAGGAATTTGACGGCGCGAATGCTAACGGTAAGGGCTCCCGGCACCCGTCCTTTGCAACCTCATGCCAGGCGTGCGCTCGTCAAGCTAATATCCTGTCCTTTACTCTTCCCTAGGCCAGCCTATCCGTCTTACCCTCCTGCCTGGTGATGGTAATCGAAGGAACCGGAACCCATTTGACACCGCAGTCATGCCAAGCCGGTCACTCGCGGATCGAATCACCGCCCCGGACGACAGGGATCGGTCTCTTTCCCCGTACGGCGTTTAGAAGAAGAGGCCGCCCGGAAAGGTATTGACAGATATATACCTGGCGGCAGCAACAACCGTTCTCGTAGCCCTATTCGGCAAAGGCGCGCCGGTGGGCGTAGACCAGGCGCGCGTCGCGACAACCCTCGCGACAGCCCGCGCGATCAAGAAGGCCGCGGGGGCCAGCGGTCAGGAACCCGAACTAGGAAAACTCAAGAGGAGCTAGATGCGGAGATGGATGACTACTTCACAGGTGGTCAGGCCGCCCAGCCTGCGGCAGCCGCCGCGCCTAACGACGAGCATCACGACGATATCGACATGATTGAGTGATGAGCATAGAATAGTCGCAGCTGGTGGTATATGCTCAGGCGTCACGAGCAACTCGAGTTTAGAGTTTGGAAGGATAGAGCGGAGTCATTAGGAAAAAAAGACAATGGATGCATGTTAGTGAGTAAATGATATTGATTCTTTACTTGGGACATATCACGACTGGCGCTTCGCCCTGCTCGGCTTTTTGCAAGCTAGGATCTGAACGAATCTTTTTTATCCGCATTGAAATTCTACATAAGCAGTGGGTGATGATGATGACAATGATGATGTACAAGTGAGATAGCCTTCTATATATAACATTGGACCACAGCTGGAGTCATATCGTACATGGAGGGGCATGGGAAGGGAGAATAGACGCCACACCCTGGGCCTAAAACGCTGATTTATAATGTGATGTATGAATACGGGCTGTCAATCTGCGTGAACACGCGGGACCGTGACTGCGACGAACTCGTGGCGTCCTGGTTCGTGAGGAAGAGGTGCTTCCTTGAAAGACCGCCAAAGTGGCCGCGGAGGCAGGCGAAATCTTCCCCAGGGTTTGTTTTGGACGGAACACCATCTCCAAGGGATGAGGAGGTCCCCAAGACGACGGAGGTCAGGAAGGAGGGGGACGCGATGGGATCTGCCAAGTTTCCAAGGTTCGGCGCAGTGACAAACTGGATGTAGGATCCGGGAGAGACGACACCCCGCTGAAGGATGGCCGGGCCAGCGTCATCTGCAGAGGAGAGCATCATGTCGAGGTTGTCGGCAGCGGGGTCGGAAGAGGCCCATTCTGCATCGAGGGAGAGACGACCACGGCGCTTGCCCCAACCACCACCCCCACTCGCTGGGATATTGTTAGCTCGCTTCCACCTCTTCTCTCCGTCCCGGTTTTGCGGGCAGAATGCCCAAAAAAGGGGGAACAAGGGAGGACGGGTACTCACTAATGCGGTAAAGTCGGAAGCCGGACATGAGAAGCTCAGCCGCGGTTTTGGCGTTTGCGGAGGCAGCTGCGGCTTCCTCTTCTGGTCCGTCAAAGCTGGAAGTCCGCAGCGCCCGCATGGTTTCGAGAACGGAGGGTGTGGAGGCCGCCTCGGGGGTGGATATCAGCGCCCATATATCGACGGGCATGCCGGACGTGGAGAGGTTGTCGGCGGCGGCGCGGTTATCGTAAACGTGCTGGACCCTGGCTTCCAGTTCTGTGGAGGCCGGGACCGGGGCGCCGTCGACCTCGATCTCGCTGAGAATGTTGCCTAGACATCCGAGAATCTTGCGCGGCGGCGTGACGGGGATCAGGGGCACCGACAGGCCGAGGCCGGGGAGGCCTGCGCGGCGCAAACGATGCCGTGGCGACTCTTTTCGGCGATGGCCGAGAGTTTGAAGACGCCGGGTTCTTGCACGGACCAGCTTGAGGCTAGGAGGGTGGACTCGAGGCCGTTTTGGAAAATGGTGTTGGCGAGGGGGATGGTGGCGGACACGGATTCGGCGCTGGGCAGGTAGAAGGAAAGGCTCCCGCGCTGCGGCGGACCGGTCGTCCGGGAGAGGCTGGATCGTGTGCTGAAGCCAGGCAGCATCTTGTCTGCAGAGCCGCGCATGACGGAGAAGCCGGTCGCAGGCGTTCCAAACGGGCTCGAGGGACTCAGATCATCCACGACGGCAGCGAGGACCTGGGTGTCGTGGCTGGCAAACGAGGAGAGGAGGCCGCTCATGAATGCTTCATTTGTCAGCCACCTGGAGAATTCAGGCGTTGTTAGGATGACTGCCGCATCCGATTCATGAGAGGTGAGGGATTGGTGGGTCTCTTGTCCCTGCAGGCTCTTGAGCTGGCCGAGGACTGTTTCCTACGCAAGCTGTTAATAAATGTGCGGCCGGGGATGTAGCAAGCTTTGAGCCATCTAAGGCGAGGAACTTACGATACTAGATCCCGTGGGGACCCTCAAAGTGAACTTGGACGCGTCATCTGATATAGTCCTCATCGATAACAACCGGGTCTGAGAGAAGCGAGGAAAGATGGGATGGTGGGTGAGGTTGGTTCGCAAGGCTCGTCGCAGAGAGCAGGACGCCATCATCTCTGGGGGCTTACGCCAAAATTTTTATATTGGCTAGTAGGACAGGAAGAAAACCAAGTCTAGTTATACATAGTGAGTAGAAGTGAAGAAGAAAGTAGCATAGAGATGCGACAACGGCCAGAGTCCAAATTAGAGATGAATTGGGCAGTCAATCACCGGCTCGAACTAGAGACTTGTGTTGCGCGCGTGTTAACTTGGACAAGAAAGAAGCTGTTGTCGGGTTGGAGTGCGAGATGATGATATTTTCATACCATTCACACTGTACACACAATGCCAAAGAACATTATTAGGAGCTGCGAAAACCCACTAATATTTGTGACTTGCTTATACTCATGGCTCTCGTCTCATTAAGCAAAGATTATTTTGAATGTATAACACTCGATGAGGTTACCAAAGCGAGCGGGGGCAGAAATTATTTTTACGGGTCTAGAAAGTATTCGCGAAGACAAGATGAAATATGTATTCAGGTTCACTCCTCGCTACTTGTGCCCAGAAGTTGCATTGTTCCAGCAGAGCACGGCGTAGATCCATATCGGTCTAGAATGAGAAGCGACTCATAAGATAATACAAGGCGTCAATGAGAGCAAATGCAAGAAACCGCCTGGATAGATGGACGCTATGGGGTTGAATGTTGAAGAACGGTCATTTAGACCATGCAAAGGGGTGGACCGCGTCGCGTCCAATATGCTAATCATGCACTCCTTCTGTTTGGAGCGTAAAGCGACAAAGTCCTCCCTGTCCATTCCCTCCGGCTCAAAACACATGGACAAAAATAGAAATGGATGCTAGGAGTGAGCAAGCGTTTCCACACATTCGCTCACTGCTTCTTCTTGCTTGACGCCGACGCGCGACGCTCGGCCGGGCTCTGGTTTTCCGACATGATGATGTCCTGAATCTCCTTGGATTCAGCGTACCACTGGCTGACCTGCAAGACCAGCACGCCTACGAGGACGAGCGCGAGGATTGTGTTGCTGATAGCAAGAAGCTTCACATTGTCCTTGCGGCTGACAGTGACGCCGTCCTCCTCCTCGGGCCACTGGCCCCAGCTGACGAGGCGCAGACGTTTGACGATGCTGCGCACCCAGATAGCCCAGCCAATAAAGTAGAGAATTAAGCTGGCGCCATCGAAGAGGAAGTTGAGTACCGCGGGACGGTACAGCTTAATGGCGAGGCCGAGAAATCCGACGGTAGTGATGATGTTGAGCACACGGCTGATGAGCGGGGGACTGGTGCATCCAGCGCAAATGGGTCTCGAGGATATCGAAATAGCTATCGGGGACCGGGGCGGCGGACCACAGGAGGGGAAATCGTAGGGAAAGGACGCGAAAAGGATGCCTAGGAAGAAACATGTTGCTATTCACCATCCGCGTTAGCCCTTTTTCCTCATCTCGGAAGACTCGGCAAAAGCAGAACCTAGCGGTTGCGCCTTCACCAATCGAGCTCTGGTGTCCCGCAAGGAGACTTATCAAGAGTGGCGATAGCACGAAACAGAGCCCCGAGGGGAAATCGCGGAAACAAAAGATAGAAAAAGAGATCAAAACGGGCGACTTGTACTTACAGCCAATGATCATGAAAGTTGCAAAAGACCCAGATCCCTTGTAGTCGGGAGACAGGGGGTCTTTGACCAATGTATTATTTGGAACATGGCGACTAGGAAAGGTGGTCGAGGAGACGGGTAGTGTGCTAGGAAGAAAGACGAAGCGTCATTGACGGAGGTGTCGCAGCCAAGCTTGCGATTTTCTGACGTTGTGTTGAGATGGGCTGGACACCCACTTTGCTTCCACGCTATTATTCTAGCAAGGCGAGGTCGCTTAGCTTGATTAGTCAGAGAAGAGCTCCCCACGCCTGCTTTGCCGCTTGGCGCCGGCAAACCTCGCACTATTGGCGGCCGGATGCCTCGTGCTGCACTTGTGGGGTTTCCAGAAGAGTTCTAGGCATAGCCGTTGCTTCACGAGCGTGGTTGTACTCGATTTCTCAGTTGATACTCGTCGTTGATGATAAGTACAAGTAAAAATAAAAATGAGAGGAAACAGGTTCCGAGCCCGGCCTCTCTGATTTCGAGGTCTCACCTCACGGCAGGACTACCTTTTGGATCCCGTCTTCTTTGTGTTTTGCTGGTTGGTGGCGCTTTTCTAGGGTCAGAACAACAGTTCTTGCTCTCGTTGTCTCTTGGGGAGAAGGCTTACTGAGTTGAAGCCATCGATCAACGGTACATCGCTCACATCGATTGATTTGAGGCGTGGCTGCTCGAGGCCTGTGCGAGGTGACTTTTAAGTCAAGACGAGAATAGTCAAGCGCCACAGCTGAACGGCACTTTGGCTGAGCTTTCCTTTTCGCACCCCAGCCAGCCGACCACGAGTCAGTGGTGTGCATGATCCGCGAAAGGGATGGATGTTTGCATTCTGGAATACCGCTTTTGTCTCAGGGTATCAGCTCCTTAAAAGCCCTCTCGCCTGGGTGAAACCACAACACATATATATATATATATCTATATATATATAGATGCAATGCTATGTGATCCAAAATGTATTGATTGCAGGCCAAACCCTCTTTCCCCATGTCTGCACTAGACCTATCGTGGCAATCATACTAAATTACCACTCCCCAGTCATTCGCCAGGTGGCCTTCGCGAGCAACTGCGTCTTTCACCGTTTCCTGTCTTGGCACTTGATTCACATCTGTTTTGCATCCTTTCAAGGAAGAAGAACAAGAAGAAGAAGAAGTAGAAGAGGGGAGGGAGAGGGATAATCTCCCCGCAAACCTATAGCATTGGCAAGATGACATATAGGCCCACCATCTGACGGCGATCCTGACGGCGCTCGTATGGCTGCCAACAGCCTTGGCCGGTGAGCTCCAAGTCTTCCCTGGTTCCGACAACTATCAGTACGTTGGCTGTTTCAACGAAACAATCCATCTTGCCAACACATCTGGCGAGAGAGCCATCTTCCCCGGAAAGAACCACGTCTTTGTCGACACCATGACCGTTCCGATATGCCTTGAGTTTTGCAGCTCGGGTGACAGGATCTACACCTATGCAGGGGTCGAATATTCACGGTGCGTCCAGAGCCTACGAGGACATGATATCAACCGAGCCCCGGTCGCTACGAAAGGGTCGCTGACGTGTTTGTTTTAGGGAATGCTGGTGTTCCGACTTTTATCCAGTTTGAGTGAGCAGCTCGATGAGAAGCGCTGCAACCTCCCCTGTGATGGGTGGGATGACATGGTCTGCGGAGGTGAGGCAGCTTTGACTGTCTACAAGGTTACGGACGCTAGTAGCGGAGCTTCTCATCCAAGAACCAAGGTTATGGTAGGAGTGGCGGTTATATCAATGTTCATTTTATAGTAGAAACTCCAGCTCAATTGATGCTTGCCATCTCCTCAGTAATAGCTCTGAGCTCTGCCCACCGGGGGTCTTCGCACAATTGAGTGCTGACATGTGAAAGATATTGGCGCCAGTGCACGGGCCCGGCACAACCCCACACTTCTGCGTTTCTATAGGTGGATTAGACCCAGCACATTCAACACAAACTCCCGATGGTCTAGTTGGTTCATGACATCTGACTGTAATGGCAACAGTTCAATCAGAGGGTCACCTGTTCGATTCAGGTTCGGGAGATTTATTTTTTTCTGCTCCTCTCTACCACCAAGCATTAAGGGAGTGCAAGGAGTGGGAGAGATATGAGAGAGGCCGTGTTCCTTCAAATACTTTTCTCCTTTTGAACCCCTTGATGAAAGACATTGTTAGCGCCTAGTGTTCCCCGCATTAATTGCTTTTTCTTTGGAACAAGTCTTCAGACTGAAAATGAAACTCATGCCAATATTATCGGGGAGTACATGGTCACTGCAACATCAAAGGCCTCGAGGTTTTATCGTATCTGTAGGAGGGGTATCATATCAAGTCGTCATTGCGTTCGCTAAATCGTTACGTCTACCGTCGTGCTTCTATCCAGTTGTTCTCTCTCTCTCTCTCTCTCTAAATATTTAGCCCCGTAGCCCTCGTTGTCTGGCCGCGGCCTGAACCGCCTCTTTGACACTGGCTGATGCCTTCACCCATGCTTGCTTCGCCTTTCCGTCCGTTTCGTCTTCCTGCAATATCCAGTCGAGGTATTTGACGATCGATATCGCCTTCTCCATGTTTCTCTCCTCAACTACAACCTGACAGAGGTATTTCTCCAGCATCTGGACATCGGCGCGATGCGGGCCTGACGCTGAAGTTTTGGCGTGCCATGCGTCAAGCATGTCCTTTACACCCTGTGCCGACGTGATGCCCGAACTCCCAAAGGTCATTTTTGGTGGAGGAGGTGGGAACGCAATCTTGGCTTGTCTGTCCCTTGGCGGGTGTTCCGTTTCCGTATTGGGGCGGCGGTTGGGTCGGTTGACGTTCAGCCCCGACTTGCGTGCAAGCCGTCGCCGGCGATGGTCCTCGAGAACTTCTTTTCTTACATCTTCTGGTAGTTCCGCAAGGATGTCGGGGTCTAGCTCCTCCGAGTCGCTTTCCGCTGCATTGGGTACTGGGTCCTCGCGTCCCATAAAGTTTGTCTGCATAAGGCCCGCCTGCGTGTCGCGCTGGCGCTCAGCTGTCTTGCCCCATCCAAGTCGACCACCTTTTTTGTCGGTGTCGCTGGTTTCCTCGGGGGTAGCGGTCCTTATGGGATGTGGTGATCGTGAGGGCCCAGCGGCGGGCTCTGGCCTCCTGTATGCAAGCAATACCTCGGCCTTCATGTCATCCGGAAGGGCGTTGAACACCTCGGGATCAATCTGTGAAGGGAGAGGCTCACCAAGGTCGGGGGCGGCGGGCTGGACTGGCTGTTTGGGCTTGACACTTGGAGAGTTCTGCTGGGAGGCCGACGGACTTTTGGAACCTTGCCCCATAAGCCGGCTCCGGATGTCCAGCGGGAGCTGAGCTACTACCTCGGGATCAGGATTAGAGGGGAGGATGAACTGGGTTCCCGAGACATTGAGGGGAGTCTTTGCCTTGGGGTCCGATTCGTAGTACCGCGCCCTCGCCAGCGCGGGGTGGAGCGAGCCCCGTGGCTTTTGGAGTGACCGGGTCATCATCAATCGGATCTCGTTCCTTTCTCGCGGGCCCCGCCCCAGGACTTCCCGAGGTGGGTGGCTTTTCCATGTCCTCGATCGGGTCCAGCTTCATCCGTTTTAAGGGTGATGGTCCATTGAAAGAGGGAAACTGTAATCGCCTCTGGCTGCCATCGAGCCCCAGATTGGGCTTGAAGGGCTCCAATCGCGTCATTTGTACACCAAGTCCCCGAAGATCACCAGGGCTGAATTTGAGAGAGCGCAGCACTGACACGGCTTCTCGGCCGATTGTATCCGCGTGATTGGTAGCCACTCCAAAAGGAACGCTCTTGTTGAAGGTATCGCATTTCCCGTGCCCGAGATGTTTAACCGTGTCGAATGGAGCGTCCAAAGCCCGCCGCATCACCTTGACCGTCAGGTTTTTCCCCTGACCTGCTCACCCAGAAGTCGCCGCTCCAATTCCTTGCAGAGGTTCATCAAAAACTCTTCCGCTTCGTCTTGGTTGATGAATCGGATCCCCCAGCTAACTTCCGCGGAAACTGATTTGCGAGGGGCTGGTCACCTACCTCCGCCTTGTTGATGCCTCTTGCGTATTCCCAAAGCCTCTCACCCGTTTTTGGCCCAAGGAAGGCCGTAAGCCGCTCCTTGGACGTGGCGCGCAGATCCTTGACATACTTGACCCCGAGTTCCTCGAGCTTGCTGGCTATGCTCGAGGCAACCCCGGAAGACCAGTGACCTCTAATTCACCAAGGAGGCTCAGTGTCTCTTCGGGCCTGATCTGGTATTGGCCGTTGGGCTTCGCTTTCCTCAACGCTACCTTGGCGAGGAGGATGTTGGCGCCAATGCCCACGGACACGGCACACCCGGTGCTCTCCTTGACTTGAGCGCGTAGTTTTGTGGCGATCTGGTCTGCAGCATCTTGTTCACGCCAAAGGCTGCCTTCGTCAACACCCTTGCCAGAGGACACGCAATTACGCATGACAATCGCCGTGATATCGATGAGCGCCTCGTCAATGCTGACGCTTTGGACAACGCCACCCACGTCAAGAATCGCCTCGTAAAATTGTTGACTAGCGTCTTCGTAGGCTGGAAAGTCGTACGGAAGAACTTTAAGAGTGGGACATAGTTCGAGCGCTCGCTTCATCCACATACCGTTCTTGACCCCATGGGATCTTGCCGGATAGTTGCAGCTTGCAATCTCGGACCCTGTTCCGCTTCCATGCGCGACGACCACTGGTTTCTCGGCATACTCGGGATGCTTCTTCAACGACACAGCACAAAAGAAGCTGTCAAAGTCGACATGAATCACATATCTCCGAGATCCCGGGGCTCTCTTGACACTTTTCGGACCGGTTCCCCTCTCATTGGCCATTCGTTGCATCTTGGACTTGAGCTCGGCCTTCCAAGTAGAAAGATGATGTAGTCGACTCTCGGAATAGAATTGGGCGAGAAAATTTGGGTTTGCCGATGATGACTTCCGTATATGTGGATCGGTAAGAAGCCAAGCATTATACTCTTCAGAGGTTAGGGTCTTGAGTTGTTCTGCATCGGCGAGGCTTTGGTTTTCACCAGCCTTTGCCGCCTTGATTGGAGATTCAGTTACGAGGCCATTGGGCTCGTTGAAATCATTCCCCTCTCTATTACGGGAGAATCTCTTTCTAGAGAGGTATGTGGTGTTCGTGCAGGCTGCGACACATCGTCTAACGGTAGTTGATCTAACACGGAGGGGCTGGTTGGCTGGTGAGGCACTACCGCAACCTCTGAGGGAAGGGCGGATCGTGGGGTGCCATTGCTTCTAGGCAAAATCTTTTCAAACTGGCTGTTATAGAAGCTATTTTGCGTCTGCTCTCGATATCCGGTCTTACGCTGAGAGTTATTTTGCGAGATAATGTTGCTGCCATCAAACCTCAGCACCTTTTGCCTAGGACCTTCGTCTACAACGCGATAGTCGGACCAAGGGAGTAATTTTCCTGCTTTGATCGAGTCTGTTACCCATGCCGGTTTCACGATCCGGTATCGGGCGAACTCGACCGCTTTTTTCGGCGTCAGGGAGGAGGCGATGATGTGCGTGGCCATAGTTTTGGAGTCGAGGTATTGGAGGAAGGCAGCGCCATGCTTCACTAGTTCTTTGTGCAAACTGCACCTCCAAACGAGTTAGTATATAGAAAATATAGAGGGGATTCTCAGGACGGGCTGGAACGAACACATGCAGAGGGGGCTGCGTATATCCAGAGACGTGGGCAACGACTCCCTTGAAAATTTGCGGAAGGTCGGATGATGAGTTGCGCAGCTGGGCGTCCAAATTCTGAAGCTTTAATTTTTGCGCCGGAAGTAATCGCCGAAGCCTCCAAACTCGCTTGCTCCATACTCCTCGCCATCCTCATCCTCGAAGCTGTGGTTCTCGATTCGCTTCCTCACCTCGGATGAGTTTTTGTCGGCAGGGGTTCCCATCTTCGTGAATAAGTATTTGTTAATATACAACGGATAAAGTGAACATTGTATTATGTATGTGTAAGAATAATACAAATAGGTCACCTTCTGGGTGCCATTGTTGGCCGGGACCGGTGACGAAGCTGGAGGTTGTGGTCAAAGTGGTGAACCTGGTGGGGAGGGGAGTCGCGAAGGTCTGGAGCGCGTTGGAAAAGAGGTGGGGTGGCAAAGAGGAGCTGCTGAATGAGCGCCGCTGTGGCGCGCTCTCACGTGCTAACACGGGCCTGGACAGAAGCTTGAAGCTGACAAGGTGCCCGGGGGCCCAGAAAATGGTGACGGCCAGCAGAGCCGCTTGGTGTTTTTCAATGTCAGGTACTTTGTACCCTTGCAATCGGCCGCATCTCGATGCGACAGGAAAGAAAATAGGCGAAGGACTCGGCCGTCGAGAAGCCACTTCCGCCTCTTGCAGGACAGTCCGATTCAAGGTTCATTGAGCTTTCCTTCCAAAAGGGGGAAAAGGATTTATCATGAACAACCAACAGTTCCGAAATCTCTTGCTTAGCAAGGGCTCGAAATCGTCGGATGGCGACCGTTCCACTTCGCCAAAGGCGAGCGCCAGCGCAACCTCCAGCGGCCTTGGTGCTCGTCAAAGGGCCAGCATCCCCATGACGCCGTGAGTACCAGGCAGGGACAGAACTCTGCGTTCCACATCTTTCAAAGAAACCCTTCTAAAGAATTATTTTTCTAACCGCCGTGCCATAGGCGTTCTACAGGGTTGAATAGCAACGCAGACTTTGCGCGCCAAGTCGCCGAACGAAATCGCGCCACGAACCCCCAGAAGAAGCCACGGTCGTCCGTCCCCAAAGGCTCAAAGCTCGCCGCGGGCTACGTGGACCGGACAAGGTCGAGACAGGAGGAGGATGAGCGAGAGGCACGACTGAAAGCGCTGGAGGAGTCGTTACGAAACGAAGAAATCGATCAAGAGACGTTTGATAGATTGTGCAGCGAAATTGCTGGGGGCGACTTGTCGACGACACACATGGTCAAGGGCCTCGACTTTAAGCTACTACAGAGGGTACGAGGAGGCGAGGATGTGTACCGCGACGGAGACTTTTCTACGGAAGATAAAGAAGCACGCAACAGCCCCGCAGAAGCTGAGGAGGGGGATATTGATGATGAGCTGGACAAAGTCTTGGAACAAGAGGTCACGGCTGTAGAAAAGGAAAAGCGCGAGAAAAAGGGTCAGCTGTCTACAGTGTCCTCCGCTGCGGGGAAGAAGCGTACGAGAGACCAGATCCTGGCGGACCTGAAGGCAGCCCGTGCGGTAGCGACGCCCAAGGAGCCAAAGGAAGACTTGGGAGGAAAATTCAAGAAGATTGGCGCGAAACAGCAGCCGGGCACGCGGATTGAGCGCGATAGCAGGGGCAGAGAGGTTCTCATCATAGTAGACGAGGACGGGCACGAGAAAAGGAAGATTCGCAAGGTATACGCTGGCGAGAAGGGCGGCGATGGTCTGAAAAATGATTTGCCTATGCCTGACAAGGACGCGAAACCCCTTGGCATGGAGGTGCCAGAGATATACCGGAACCGAGAAGAGCCCGAAGAGGAAGAGGATGATGATATCTTTGGTGGCGTGGGAGACGACTACGATCCATTGGCCGGGCTTGCAGCGGGTTCGGGCTCCGACTCCGATTCCGACTCCGATTCCGATTCCGACGGCGGCGAGTCTCGGCCGGGTCGTGATGACGATGCAAAGTCCGTAGGATCCGAGAAAGAGAGGACGACGAAGAAGGAAGACCTAGCAGTACCGCCCGCACACGCTACAGGACCAAGAAACTATTTCAAGGATGCCAAGACTGGGCTCATCTCCCAAGAAGAAGTCAAGGCGCCGTCCTTGTCCGACCCAACCATTATGGCCGCCTTGAAGAAGGCGGCGACCCTTAACCCGTTGGGTAAAGGGCCCGGCGACGATGATGATGTTAGCGACCAAGAGGAGAGGGCGCGGCTGGAGCGCAGGCGGAAGCTTCTGAATCCACCGATCGCGACGCGGAGGATCTGGATATGGGCTTCGGCACGAGCAGGTTCGAGGACGAGGAAGACTTTGATGAAAGAAAGGTCAAGCTGTCGAAATGGGGAGAGGACGGCGGCGACGGGGAAGGCAGATCCTCAGGCGGGCGGCAGAAGAGGAAACGAGGCCCCAAGAAAAGAAAGGGGGATGGGAACAATGCCGCTGATGTTTTACGGGTGCTAGAGCAAAGAAGAGCAGGCGGCTCATAGTACAAAGCTCTTTTTCACCTCTTTTTCGTTGTTTCTGCACCAAAATGATGTCAAATGCCATGAAGTTCCCGACCTAACAAGCGATCTTGCTTTGCCCTAGTTCTTGCTCCTTGCTCTTTTATATCCTATCAAGAGGAAACGATGTGCGGGTAAATGTATTTACGTGTGTGTAAATGATAAGTTCACGAAATCTCCTTCGCTAGGCCATGGTTCATACCTCAATAGATAAGACGCCAATGACTTTGCTCTGTTTACCGGCAGCCCACGTCCTTGAAGCATGGAGGCCGACCAATGGCATCCGGCAGGCCCGGAAATCCGCTCCGGAGCCCCACGATTCCGTTCACAAACGTGGACGGGCACGCAAAAGAAAAGAGCGGATAGAAAGGAGAGCGGGGCGCCCGGTAACTGAGAATTGATCCATCCATGGATCCATCAATTGGATGTATTCAACCCAGTGCTGCTTATCTTTGCGTCGAATACCCCCTCCGGGGCGGTGGGATCCATTGAACAGAAGATGAAACTTGCGTGGACCAAAAGTCCCGAGAGGGATCAATTGATGGCGGTCACAAGCCTGAGGCGACGGCGCTACACTCCCACCCGCATCCGTGTGACCCCACCACTGCCCCTCTCCCCTTACAAAGACGCCGCTGGCCGGGTATTCCACGTTCCCCTTGCGAGTCGTGGATAGGTTGGGTCATTGAGATTGACGAATGCGATTCCCAGGAGACTCTCTCTCTCCGATACTGACCTTGCATAGTCTTTTTACTTTTCAGACAAAAATTCTCGCCTGTCTCTCTCACCCCTGCCGCATTCACGAGCGCATTAGGAGAGATTCCACACGGATACATTCCCAGGTCATATAGATTGAAAAAAGAAGACAGAATCCCTACCATTTAGAAGATGAGGGTGCCAAAGATCCCTGTGTGGCTTGACTGTGATCCTGGCCATGATGTGAGTTGAATCAATGTTTTTCTCCCTTCTTTTTGTCAATTTGACTTTTGGTGAGGCTCATTCGCCAATGCGCCGCGTTCTGATTGATCCAAGGATGAATCTATGTGTGAATGCGTGTCTGCACCTGCCGAATCGCCCATTTCCGTGCATCACCGCCCCGCGCTGTCGCTAACTTTCACACAAAGGATGCGTTTGCCATACTCCTTGCCGCCTACCATCCGCAATTGCAGCTCCTAGGTATCTCGACAGTTTTCGGCAATGCATCACTCAGGTAAAGTGCAGTCACAGCCCCCCTTCTCACCGGCCTTCCCAAGCCAAAAGGCAAAGCGGGAAGACACAAAGCTTCACCGCCCGGGGCGCAAAGCTACCTAGCGCTTTCGCGAGCCGTACTAACAGCCTCGCCAGAAAAACGACGAACAATGCGGCATCTATTCTTACCGCGATAGGCAAGGAGAAGGAGATCACAGTCTATCCCGGCGCGCACAAGCCGCTGGTCCGCCCTGAGAGACAGCATGCCGTCGACATCCACGGCGAGTCCGGCATCGACGGAACCGATCACCTGCCCGAGGGCCGCGCGCAAGTAGACACCACCACGGGCGCCATCCACGCCATGGCCGAGGCCCTCCTCAACAGCCCCCGGCACCGCCTGGCTCGTGGCCACCGGCTCCCTCACCAACGTCGGCGCCCTCCTACAAGAGTACCCCCAGATTGTCGGTCACCTGGCGGGGCTGAGCATCATGGGCGGCGCTATCGGTGGCGGCTTCTCGAGTGCCGTCATGGGAATGGTGGACGGCGTCGCGCGCGTGGGCAACTGGTCACAGTACGCCGAGTTCAACATCTTCATCGACCCGGAGGCCGCCGCGCTGGTGTTTGGAAACGAGGAACTCGCCGCCAAAACGACCCTTGTGCCCCTAGACCTTACCCACCAGGCATTGGCTACTAAGAAAGTACGGACCATGCTCCTCCACGGCAAGGGAGCGCCGGCCGAGTCGCCGGATGGCGAGGGCAAGTCAACGTTGAGGACCATGCTAGTGGAGCTCCTCTTCTTTTTCGCAAAGACATACGAGTAAGTGGCACCCCAGTGGACTCTTTGTAGGAATCAGGGCTAACTGGTAGCGCGAACTAGGGACGTGTTTGGCATCACCGAAGGTCCTCCACTTCACGATCCCCTCGCCGTTGCCGCGATTCTCTCCGACGCTCGACCTGGGATCCCGTTCCAGGACTGGGGCGCGGACGGGGTCCCGAGAAGAGAGAGCGCTTCGATGTCACCGTTGTCACCGAAGGCAACTTTGAGGATGCGGTAAAGGGAAGCCAGCTGGGCCGCACCATCGCCACTCTAAAAGAGCCGGGCAAATCTGGTGTCAGGATCCCGAGGAGCCTTGACCTTGATTCCTTTTGGGACGAAATAGAAGCCTGCATTGAAAGGGCGGAGACGGTGGTAGCTGAACGCGCTTGATCAAGGCAGACTCCCTTGAGTAGAACCACGACCACAAGCAATGACGCCTCGACAATGTGTTGTCGATGATGCCGCTTTAGCGCCGGCGGCCAGAGAAACGGAAAATAAGCTTTGATAGCAAAATATACAACCAAGTATCCTCTTGGGTTCAAAGGCCATTACTAGTTTTCTAGGACTAAACCCATCTCACCTTCCCTCTTTTGTGTGAGACTTTATTCGTAGCATTGATTCTGTGTTTACATTGCATGTTTAGATCTATTGCTTTCAATGTTCCTCATGCAATTCTAATGATTTCCTCTAACACCTAACACGCTGTATAACTCCTCAAAGTGCCAGTGAATTTCGCCCTCTAACCCACGCAGATATGAAGATCCCAAAAGATTGATTCAATCTAGGGAAGAAAAAAAAAAAAAAAAAATCTAAAAACCTAGAAAGACGGGGAAAAAGTAAAGCGGTCTGGTCTACCCGAGGGTCTCGATAATCGTACATAGCACAACAGGTGCCTTGCTTCCACTCTCAAATATTACGCTCAGCAGCATTATCTAGTTTAATAAGGTTTCGCAAGGTGCTCTCGTATACCCACAATGTTACGCCGCTGCTAGGGGCGTGCTTGAGCAGCGTGACGAAGAGACCCCGGTAGAGCCCCCTGATGCCCTCGGTAGCTAGAATGGTGCGGATCGCGCCCATAGTACTCGTGTATTCGGGGATATTCTTGTGGATGTACTTGCCACGGGTCGGGCCCTGGACTTGCATCCGCTTCCTCACAATGTCCAGGGGAAAGACGGTAGTCTTTGCGATGAAGCTAGAGGCGCTACCAGCTAGAAACTTATCAAATCCCCAGGGGAGGCGCGGAATGATGCGCTTGCTTTCGTCCTCGCCTTTCCGGACGTCAGGGGACGGAGCGCCTCATAGGTAAGGAAGTAGATGCCCATGCCCGGGCCTGCGTTGAGCAGGGTCGGCACGATGCCGCGGAAGAAGCCCTGGAGCCCTTCGTCTCGGTATATTTCCCCAAAGGCTCGGAAGAAGGACTTGTATACGCGATCGTTGCCTTGGGCGGCGAATCGTGTTCGGAGCAGGTCGAGGGGGTAAGACATCGTGGTGCCAGCTAACCCAGCCACCGTACCGGCGATCCACGCGATCTGGGCCTCGATGCGGGGGTTCGTCCTATTGTCGCCAAGGTACGGACGGATGGCCTCGGCGGTGGCCCGGTATGCCGTGAACTGCGCGGCCGAATAAACCATGTACATGATCTCGGCAGGGACATTGCCTTTCCAGAGTGCCGTGAAGCCCTCATCGCGAACAATGTCCCTAGCCGTCCGGATGAGGCCTTTGTAGACGGGTGAGCCGGGGGCAGTTTTTTATCGAGAGCGGGTCAGACAGGGAATGGGATTGAAGTTGGAGCCGGATCTTGATAACATCGAGCGGGGCGACAACGAATCTGTACAGGCGGAGCAGCGTTAGTGGTCTTGCATTCTGCATTTCCTTGGCACGGGCAGGCGGAGACGATACGATACATACCTGGACACCAAACCTGCTGTCGACCCAGCTATAATCGTTTGCAATTTTGAGCCCTGCACGCGAAGAGAAGAAGATGGGTTAGTTGGCCTGTTGTGGCTTCTTGACCGAGGGTTGATACAGGTGGTGACATCATACCTTGTCTTTGAGGTGTTCCGTCATGGTGTATTCGAGGCCACCCTTTAGGCCATGGAATCAATGCTGGGAAGACGCGCGGTGGACCACAAGAAGGCGGGCTGCACAAAGCAGAAGTTTCGTTTCGTCGCTGATATTTGGGGAGACGAGAATGGGGGCTGTTTCGTGTCGGGAAGCATCCTGCTGAGGAATAAGACCTTGGGATCTCGTGAGATCAGGTAATACCACGATGATCGGGGGAAGGAGGCACTTGATTTCCGAGCAAGCGCACACACAGCACGGACTTATGTATGGGTTATGGCAAAGTCATATTTTGCGAGAAGGGGCGTTCGACCGGGTCGGGTAGCTATCAAATGGAGGCGACCAAAGAAAAAATTCGAGATTGCCAAGCTCTGTGTGGTACTGGTCCTGTTGTCAGCGCTCTCAGCCCGCGTCATCGAACTGTCGTGTGCAGCGCGCAGGCCATCAGCTTGAAGGGCGACGCAAAATCCAGCAGAGAATGAAAATTCGGGCAAGGCCAGCTTTCACGCCATCTGGTTGGCCGCGGATCTTGCCGTCCGAACATGGGCCCACAATTGAAACAGAGCAAGCATGGACGGTATTTTTGAGAAAGACAATGGAGCGATTTAACAAAAGGTCTGTTAGAGGGTAAGTGCAGATTGGACGATTATTATATCTTTGAAGGGGATTCGGTGGAGATGGCAAGAGGGGCTGGAAATGACTTCAGAATTGTTTCCTCTTCCCCTTCGAGCCTATGGCTAGGAAAGCTGAACTTTATGGGGGTTAGGAGTTCGGAAAGCTCTAGACTTGAGGGCCATCCATTGACAATTAGCTGACATCAAATTCAATTGATCCGCTAAGGAAGACATGTCGGATTAATAGAATACAAAGGCTTGAAAGGATTTGATGTACGGTGGTTCTCTGCGCCGCTCAGTCACCTGGGTTTGGCGCCTGGCGGCTATGGATGGCCGATCTTGCAAAGCAAACAGCCCCCCAATGACCGGCAAATGCGCCATGAGGGAAAAGGTAGGGATAGCCAACAACGAAGAATGGCTGACGCAGCCGAGCTCCCGCTCCCCATCCCATTTTGGAAATATTGCTCCCGAAGGTGCGTAACCGTCGATCAATCACAAGAGGCGCATTTATGGCAGGTGGAATCGAGTGTTCCCTCGTTCGCTGACTTTTGCAGAATACCTTCTTCCTTTCGAGGCAGGGGGCGAGACAAACGCCAGGCCGAGGCGCGCCAAAGACAACAAGTCAATCCAAGCTGATCGTAGTAATACCACGTTATCAATTTGGGCCGCACGAAGTAGTTCAAGAGAGGCCCCGTCTTCTACTTCGGCTTGTCACCAGACACGGCCGGCGCAAGGGACAAAGATGGGAGGTGATCTGGCTGAGCTAAGTCCTGGAGAATAACCTTAACCGTGGTCGCCCCTTTGCCCCGATCATCCCAATATACCTGAGGCGGCTGAAGCGACCCAGGAAAGGAATGCACCGGCCTACCGATATTGTCAAGGAAATTGAATCATCGTTGCAAAGGGACACCTTCAGTGGATGAGGCAACGCGGCCCGCCTCCTCCCTTCTAGGGAGAGGTCCGAAGTGTACATTAATATTCCAACGTCGTGTAGTACATACTTGTGGAGGCGACTTTCACGTGGATTTCATCTGGAGTGCATTGTCGTCGTCGCGCGCTCTGAGTGGTCCAATTCTCTTCCTTTTCCCCGAAGGCCTGGGCTTCCCCAAAGTTGGAGAACCATTATTCCACTCGCTGGGATTGGTTAGAAGCTTGTTTTGGGAGCGAGCTCCCGTCGCCCATGCCCCAGACTATGGCAAGTATGGTACATAGTTTCCACTTGGGAGGCATCGTCTAGCATCTCTAGTGGGTCTAGCCAGTCCAGTCCATCGGCTTGGCCATCCTCCCACGCTCTTTCTTCTTGTGCCGATGCACTGCTCATCTCGGGGAGGGAAGCTTGCCCAATCCGTCAAGCAAGCCCCATCTCTCTGCACTTTTCTCTCCGTCGCCCTTTGCATTGAATCGTATCAAGAGATTGTGCCGTTCCATTCCCTTTTTCTCCATCCTCTCCTCTTCTTACTCTCTTCGACGCTTCTCAAAAATTCATCTTCCTCTAGCCCTCAATATTCTCTCTCCCCCTTTATCTTCTCATCTCCTCCGTTTCCTTCGAAGCTGGTGTCTGCACTGCCAGGTCTATGCAAAAGGGCTCCTTGACCGAACCTGAACCCCGCGGCCCCGTCAATCTCAAACACTGGCAGTTGCTGAGACCCTGGCAGCCATCAACCCTGTCAATTGACCCCCAGGGCCCTGAAGCCGGTCGTGTTACATCACTTCTCATCCAGCCTCTGGCTCGGTCCCAGCCAACTTTCTCTCTCTGTCGCCACTATTATCTGCATCCATCTCCACGGCCAAACCTGACTCGGCCAGACTAGTTTTCGACGCTCGTCCTCCCCGTTCTCTCAGAATACCGCACCGTCGCGACATTTAGCGGAAACTTTGTGCTAATAAATAAGCCTCGTCTTTTCAATCCCCGCACACCAACCGGATCCAACATTTGGCCAACCTAGCCCGGCGCTGGACCAACCTGGAGAGTTCAGCCATCTCCTCCAGTTGTCCCTGCACCTACCCTGCCTGGAGTGGCATGTGACGGCGTCACGATACCAGCTAGTACCTCGACTCTCTCGGTTGTCCAAGCTCCCCCAGCTCTCCTCTCCAGTCGAAGCTTGTGCGCATTAAAGTCTTCGTCTCTCCTCCTCCCTTTTCTCTCTCATCCAATTCACGCAATCCTCTTCCTCGATTTTCCCCTTGTGTTTTTGAAAGGGAGACCAGGGCTATCCCATCTCTTTCTCAAGTTCGCCCTCTTCCCTCTTCCTGTGCCACCAACATTCTCTCGCCTCCCAAGCTTTTCAGATCTACCTCCCCGCCTACCATGTCGACTACCGTGATTTCGCCTCTCCAGGCCCCCACCCTGCTCGGCCCTCTGTTGCCTGCTTTGCCGACCGCAGCTTTATCTGCCCAGCCAGCTACGGCAGTATTACCCCTTCTCTCTCCCATTCTCCGCCAGCGAGTTCAAATATTTTCTTCGACCAGCACCGAACCGTGGCTCAAGCTTTTATGTTATGACACCGCAAAGGCTGCCAAGCTTCAAGAAGTTGTTCAGGGTGGCGGCCTTGATCCCCATCCCGTGTCTGGCGAGGTCGAGGTCGATTGGGAGCTGGACTCCGAATGCCGATACAGACGGCTTGACCAGGAAACCCTACAAGCCTTTCTTGCATTGCCCAGCCTCCAACTTGGCTTCCAACTTGTCTATTGCGTTGGCGACAAGGACGGAGGCGGCGACGGCTGGAGAGTTGGTGAACTCACTGCCGTGGATGGCTTCTCACCTTTTGCGTCTTTCGACGGCGAAGTCAGCATATCCGCTGCGGAGAAGAAGTACAATGATACCCAAGTGCAAAAGTCTTCGAGTCTCTCGGTGAATGGAACAGCCTCCGCGCATGGTGGAGCGCAAACCACCGCCATGAGTGAAGACGACGATGATGACTACTGGGCACGCTACGATGCCACCCCGCGCGTACTCCTGCGCGTACTCCTGCTGCGAAGCGCTCGCCGGCGCCTCAATCGTTGCAATCCTCGACCACCTATGGAACTTCTACCGCAGCGGAGGACGCCTACTTTGCCCAGTATGACGATGTTCAGCCCGCCATGGATAACCACGATCCCGACGAAGAGCGAAACATCGAGGCTTTGGGCCCATCCCTAGGCCTAGAACATGTATCGACCAGCTCCACGCAGGAATCGCTCGAGACCGCCACCGAACTTAACGAATCTACAGGTGCCTGGACACTCGCTGAGCCCGACAGGTCTTCTCCCACCTATAACGACGTCCACCTAGCCCTTGCCCACCCCGTCCGTCTTCCAGCGCTAGCTCATCGAAAGGCAGCGATACCGTGGCAAGGCTCGAGGAGACAGCCGAGAGGCAGGTACAAAGCGAGTTCGGCGTCAAACAGCATGTATCAAGAAGCATCCGCAGCTTGTTCCTCCTCTCCCGCGCCTCGGGCATCGATCGCGAAGAGTTTGAGAGCATGGTTCGCACAGAACTTGACCTCCTCGGCATGATGGAAGGCGAAGATTAAAATGTCCCCTCTATCTCTTGTGCAGAACCAAGGCACAAACATGAAATGTACATCACATTGGTTAGAATGATTTCGTGCTACGACACAGATTGTCACTCTGGCAGAAAAACCAACGGCCAAGGGCATTAGATGACTTTTGAAGAGCGAGCAATTTGCATATTCATGTCGGAGTTTTCTCATGGTACTTTCTTTCCTTTTTCTTTTCCTTTTCTTCTCTCTTTTTTCCGTCATTCTTGCTCCTTTTCATTTTGATCTATTCTTGGACGGCGCCTGGCGGGCAAGATTTTTAGATTTTCATTGACACAAGAGCATATGCGGAGAAGGGCGTACCCAAAGGGAGTTTGTTTCTATTAGTCTGGTATCAATATGGCATGCAGCTTCTGTGTAGAACGGAGTCATTCAAGGATCTCGTTGAAATCCGGTAGATAAGAAACCCTACCCTCTATAAACAAAATACCAACCAAGTCTTCTTCATTCAATGTTCTATGTAGTGGATTGCGTTCCCTTTCCGTGCCCACTGTTGCGTAAATCGTATTTCATTCATGTCCTATCCAACATCATCGTACAGCATCAAGATGATCAACGCCTGCGAAAAGTCAACAAGTCTCCTTCTATAATCTACCTTAGGAGCCTAACCCCGTGCTCACCACAAGCGGCGGGGCGTGCGCTTCAGGTAATTGATAATTTATCAAGGGCTAGTCTAGCACACTCGATAACCTGCATACAAGGTGGCTTTTGTCCTTTTGGTAAGCTCGCAACTGGCATTAATGAAACGCAACCAAGATCGTGGCCAGCGGCGATTAAGTGGTCAATTTTTTCATGCCTTAATCGAGCCCTCTCCTCCAAGTCACGTACAGCCTGGGCGAGGCCGAGGTGTTCCGGTACCGTGAGTTCGTCTGTAGCGCATAAGGAGGGCGGCGGCGGATCGAGGTTGAAGCCGTAAATTTCGTAGCGGAGAACCGCGCGCATGGCGAGCCGCCACACATCTGGATTGAGGTCAGACTCGTTGATGACCAAGGACAAGAGGCACTCGCCGCCACCACCACCACCACCACTGGCGCTGCTGTCGCTACCCAGGTCGCTCCACACGCTCCCGAGTGGACGAAACGAAAAGCGGAGCATGGTGCCGGCGTCTCGAGCCTCGGCGGCGGCTATGTCGATGGTATCGAGTAGGCGCGAGTAGGCGTTGCTGAGGGAGGCTAAGAGTGTGCTGAGAAGCATGGTGTTCTGGAGGGATTGCATGGAGGGTGTCGCGAGGGGCACCTCCAGGAGAGGGTGCCACAGGCAGTGCAGCGAAGGACTTCGTGTGCGATTTTCGCAGTCGCACGAGCGGTACATATGGCGGCGGGGATGTCGGCGGCGATGTTATTCAAGGAGTCGAGGGCTAGGTAGACGCTGGAGAGGCAGGGGCAAGTTACGTTGGGGTGGGAGGCTAGGCGTGCCGACAGTTTCTGAGCGTCTGAAATATCGGGGCCGGCTGCGGCCGCTAGTTCCGGGTCTGGAATGCCGTCGCAAGATATTTGTTGAGTGAAGAGAAATCTGGCAATGACTTGGAATATTCTGTGGACGCTCTCCTTTTCAGCTTTGGGCCGGCTGCGTTGAGCTGTTCAAGGCTGGGTTGATTGAGGAACTCGGGATCGAGGGGAAGTCGGGCAAGGGATCTAGTTGGGCTGGCGCCAGGGAGAACTCGGGACCGTCGAGATCGAAGGGGGTGACAAGGTCGTGAAGGGTGGAAAATGTGGCACCCACGTCACTGGAGAAGACATGGTTGTGGTTGTGTGGAGGGTCGCGAGCTGAGATGTCGCGGCTGGGAGTGGTGCATCGTGGTTCTCCGGCCAAAAGTCGGCTCTGTCCACTCCCTCGGAGAAGTCAAGCTCGCTCTGGCGCCGTTTCTTGGGCCGGCCCATGGGTTTCTGCGCAGAGTACACGCATGCGAGGCCCTCGCGACGACATCTTAGGCAGCCGTCTGGCTCTTTGGAGCATGCTAGTTTACGTGTTCCTTGAAGAAGAGAGATTAGCCCGGATGACCCCAGGTTTTACAAACTAGTTCCATGACGGCGACTGATGGAAAGACGGGCTTCTAGTACTTACGGCATTCATCACAGGCTCTACGCTTGATGACGCCTTTGGCCGTTGGCGGCGACGGAGGTGTTATTGGGTCCGCGCCCAACCCTTTGTCCATCTCGGCGAGGCGTGGCGTTCACGGATGGATGGTGATGGAGAAATCGAGAGAGAGAGAAGTGGGACAGGGAGACAGAGGGAGAAAGAGAGACTGAGTGTTATTCTCGAGAGATTTCAAGAGCTATTCGGGCACATGGAAGCCTGGAAAGCGGTGATTAACGTGCTCGGGACGAGGTCTCGAGGAATTGGTGGATCGGGTTTTGAAGGTCTATGTTATGATATAAGCAAGCTATGGGTATTTATAGTCTGATAGTTCGATGAAGTGAATGTTCCTCAGCCTATTGATCCCTCCCTTAATATGTGCTCAATTCCCCTCCACGCTCAATTCGAACACCTGGATGGAGGCAGGAAGGATGGAGGGGTACATTCAAACAAGGATGATCTCCAACTAAGGCTGAAGCAAGTACCTTGTACCAAAGTTACCCCACACTAATAAAGGCGGTGACATATCGACTTGGCAGAATTTCTTTTACAGTGGGAACGGGGATTGAAAAAAAAAAAAAAGTTTTGAAGCTATCGCCCGCATGAGAGGGAACTTTTCGCGATCCCGCCCTTCAGTGACACAATAGTCTGGTTCTGGACCCTTTCAACCTCAACCTTCAAGACTTCCCCAAGTGCACTGTCTCGAAGAACATCAAGGAACCCGAACTGTGTTCCTAAGTATGCCTGCCGCCGACAATCGCCGGAAGCGAAAAGTTTCGCTGGCGGAAACCCCGCCGCCGATGATATCTTTGGGAATGGCGACCTTGAGGGCGTTCTCTCGCAAAGCGACGACGATGATTTCGAGCCCGCCGATTCCGATGTAGAGAGCAGCGAGGCGGACTATGAGGAGGGCGATTTCTCCGAAGACCCAGACATTTCGGGTGACGAGATTCCCGACGACATAGAACTCAACGGTGCCGAAAAACCCAACGGGGACAGCAACGACCAGCCCAATTACAAAATTGTGACTGACGCCAATGGTGATGTGAGATACGAGTACGAGGAGATCGACCCCGTCTATGACTCGGACGACACGGACGCGGGGAACAGGCCAACACTATCGGCGATATCCCTCTCTCCTTCTACGACAGCTATCCTCATATCGGCTACACCCTGGATGGCAAGAAAATCATGCGTCCCGCGGCGGGAGATGCTCTAGACTCGCTTCTCGACTCCATCGAGGTTCCCAAGGACTGGACCGGTCTCACTGACCCAGCTACGGGCAAGCCCTTGCGCATCAGCAAAGAGGAACTGGAAATTTTGAAGCGAATTCAGCTAAATGAGATCCCGGAAGATGGATACGATCCTTATCCTGTACGAGCTCACTCTCTTCTTAATCTGCCCCGCCATAGTTTTATCCTTTTTCGCATTCTCATCTATTTTTCATCTTCTTTCTTTTTCGTTTCCATTGCGTTGAAACTAACGGTGCATAGGATCTCGTCGAGTACTTTACAAGCATCGAGGAAAAGATGCCTCTCAGCTCCGCCCCCGAGCCGAAGCGACGGTTTGTACCGTCAAAGCACGAGGCTAAGCGGGTGGCCAAAATGGTGCGCCTTATCCGGGAAGGAAAGCTTCTTCCATATAAACCACCCGAGGAGAACGAGAGGGAAGAGGAAGAGAAGGAAGAGGCGTGGTACGATGTGTGGGCGAATGAGGAGGCCCAGGAGCCCCATGTCATGCACATCCCCGCACCCAAGCTACCGCCGCCGCAGCACGATCTCAGTGTCAACCCACCCGAGGAATACCTGCCCTCGGCCGAGGAGAGGAAGGCTTGGGACGAGCAAGAATCCGAGGACAGGACCAAGGAGTATTTGCCCACCAAGTACGACTCGCTTCGAAAAGTCCCCGCGTACATGGATTTCACCAAGGAGCGATTCGAGAGGTGTCTGGACCTGTACCTCGCCCCCGGATACGCAAGAACAGACTCAACATTGACCCCATGTCCCTTCTCCCGAAACTCCCCGACCTGAAGAGCTCAAGCCCTTCCCCACGCTATGTCAGACCACGTTCAAGATGCACGACGGTCGCGTGCGCAGCGTATCCGTCAGCCCTACGGGCGATTGGGTGGCTTCGGGCGGTGATGATGGAACAGTTTGCGTTTGGGATCTCAACGGCCATCTCGAGTACCGGGTCAAGCTCAGTAGCGACGAGCCCGTTGACGTCGTACGATGGCGCCCTACCAAGGATACGTTGATCATCGCTGCAGCGGCGGGAGATGATGTATTCATGATTGTGCCCGACATTGGTGTTGACAGCGTCCTTGACAACAGCCGAGATGTTCTCGATGCCGGCTTCGGCTATGCTACCAATGGGAAGCAGATGACTGGAGGCATGACGGCCGATGGCCAGCGCAAGGACCCACCCGCCAAATGGGCGAGGCCAGGCTCCCGCCTCGAGGCGCAGGGCGTCCTCCTCAAGGCGACGTTAAGGTCAACGGTCAAGGTGCTCAGCTGGCACAGGCGTGGAGACTTCTTCTGCACAGTGTCCCCCAACGGACAGCGGGGCGCCATCGCGATACACACACTCTCTAAGCACCTCACACAAATTCCCTTTAGGCGCCTCCGCGGGCTTCCGCAAACTGCCCATTTCCACCCCTCTCGTCCGCTCTTCTTCGTCGCCACGAGACAGGCGATCCGGTGCTACGACTTGCAGCAGCAGCAGCTCGTCAAGATTCTTCAGCCTGGAGCGAGGCACATTTCTTCTTTCGACATCCATCCTGGTGGCGACAACGTGGTGGTAGGTAGTTACGATAGGAGGTTACTGTGGCACGACATGGATCTTTCGGCCAGGCCCTACAAGACGATGCGGTTCCACCCTCGGGCTATCCGCGCAGTCAAGTTCCACAAGGGTGGATTCCCGCTTTTCGCGGATGCTAGCGATGACGGGACTCTGCAAATCTTCCACGGAAAGGTGGTGAGCGACCTCATGGAAAACGCTACAATCGTGCCCGTGAAAATGCTCAAAGGTCATGAAGTTGTTGCCAGCTTGGGCGTGTTGGATGTGGATTGGCACACCGCGCATCCTTGGTGCGTGAGCGCGGGAGCAGATAGCACGTGTAAACTGTGGTGCTAAGAAGCTCGGGGATACGTCTATACATCGTTGCTCTGGTTCTTTCAATGTTCTGTGCTTACTCCTCCCCCTTGTTGTTGGGGAACTTAGTCTAGGCGTTCTTGCGACCAGTTTAGAGTTAAAATATCAATCAATGGGGTCTTGCTCTCCATGTAAACCAAAAGTCGTCGACATGAAGGCTATATGCATAAGTCAGAAGCGGTTAGGCTCGTTGAATAGTTGGGATCAGTTTTGGGAGGAGCGGTGTGGCCGCGGTGAAGACTCGATGTAATATTAAGAGCCAGTCCATTCTATTCATGGACCCATCCATCCATTAGATTGGGTCCATTTGATAGATCCATGGATGGATCAATGGCTCACGGCGACCCCAACCCTAAAGAAAGATATAAGCACACATCCCTCAAACTAAAAATGGAGTGGAAAAACGCACCAAAAACCCCCATTAGCTATTCAGACCCAAGGCAGGAGCGATTTACATACAACAAGCTAGTACCGCGGTGTTAAGTCACATTTTTCAAATCACTCCAGTGCTGCCTGCCCAAGTGGAGAACCTGAGGCAAATCTCCGACACAACCGTAGACCACTCAAGGCCAATTCCAACGATCCCGTGAGGATGATTCGCCCCTATAAACAACGCACTTCCCCACGGGTTCTAAGTGGAGGAGGTTGATATCGACTGCTATCCAACCATCCATTTCATCGAAAATCAGAAAAGCAACGATTAACTATAGGATAGACTTGCCAAGACAGACGCTGTGCGAGTGCGACGTTCAACTCTCCGGCAGCCCTTCTTTCACAATGCCTGTTCTCGCCGACGGAGAGACGGAAGACAGGTAGACTCTCGGGTGGCTAAGTGGTTAAGCTCGGCTGCATCTTCCCTTTTGGCACTTTTGCTTGCCCTCTTATGTACCAGGGTAAGCATGAGCGTAAGCGCGTACGCCGCGTGCGCCTCGAGGATTTGTCTGGATCTCAGACCCAGACGGAGAGGAGTTTCATGTAATTGCCGGGGTAGTTAACAAGGATTGAGCAAGTACACGAATTTCACTCGGGAGCCGCCTTCGCATCGGGTGCGAAGGCAAGTGGTACGCCAACGATACGATGACCAATGAATATTGTAAGGCATGAAAATAGGCCTAAATTGTGCATGGCGAACGAATCCTTCACTTTTCAAGTCCGTTCAGGGCTGACCCTTTACTGCCAGGTTTCTGGCCTGGTTCTGAGCAAATACATCCATGGATCCATCCATTCACTCAGGGCTTCTTTCTCCGCCCTACGTTTGGCTTATTCCTTCTCCAGTGCTCTGTCATCGAGGACCATGGAGTCCCTCGACTTTTCATACCCTTCCCTCCCCTCCCCTACCCGTCCCATCCGTTCCTCTTTCACATCACACTTCATTCAGCGCCTTTCACATGCAGCAGGCCCTTTCTAGGGTACCCTCAAGGTCCATTCTTGTATCTCTTGAAGAGGCTCAAGTCTACGGCGGCTGCCATGGCCTTATAGCCGGCTGGGCTTAGGTGAAGGCCGTCACCCGAGTCGTACTGAGCAGACAGAACCTCGGGGTTCTCAGCATCCCTCACGGCCTCGTCAAAGTCGATGACGGCGTCGAATCGCCCACTCGTCCTGATCCATTCGTTGACGCGCTGTCTGGTGGCATCCATGACGGTGTTGTTGTAGGGCGACTGTTCGCCGAGGATGGGCGTGATGGTCGCTCCGAAAACCGCAATGTTGAACCTGTGCAGGCGGGTGATGATTTGGTCGTACGCAGCGACTAGACGGTTTTCAACTTCCTGCTGCGAGGCCTCGTCCGTTGCGGCGGTGCCTATATCGTTGACTCCCTCATAGATAATGGCGTATTTGGTGCCCGGCATGGCAATCACGTCGCGGTCGATGCGGCCGAGCGCGTTGGGACCTAAGCCATCCGCTAGAACACGATTACCACCGGCAGCTTGGTTGATAACGGCGATGTTCTGGGTCTCACCGCCATCCTTCTTCATGCGTGTGAGTAGCTGGTCCGGCCATCGGTCGTTCTTGTCCGTCGTCGAGCCCCTCCCGTCCGTGATGCTGTCGCCTACGATGACGACGGCAGAAGAATCCCTCTTTACCTGACCTTCGATGCTGCTGATAAAGTACCAGTGGGCGGCGTTTGCCGCACCCTCGAGACTTTCCGTGCCAACCGCGTTTCCTTTGACGAACCACGAAGTCGTGCGGCTGCCTGGGTGAGAGGTGATTTCGTTGGTGGTCTGGCCCTTCTCGAGATAAATGTCGATGGAGACGATGGACTGGGCCTTGACCGGGAAGTCGATAGGGTCGGACAACACCGAGGCGCCGTTGGGGATCACAAAGCCGTCGTTACCAGAAAATGTTAGCTTCTTGACGGTGGACACGTCAATGGTGCTCAACCCTGCATCGTTGGTAGGGGAAGAGCGATGCTGGCGGCAGTAATGGGAAGATCAGAGCCGCCAAACACGTTGTTGATCTGAAGCCGAATCGAGTCTGCGTCAAGAGTGACCATGACTGATTGGCGAATGGTGGAGTCCTCAAACACGAGTCCCGTGGTGTTCTTCAAAGGGACACGGCGTTAGCGGCTGCCTGTCCTGAATCTCGATCCCTCGGAGGATAGCAAAGGGCCGAGGGAGAAAGTAAGTAGGGGCTAGGAACAGAAAGGACGTACGAATTCGGCGGGGGAGGTTGTGGGGCTCGGTAAGCTGAGGCATGCTGCCCCAGATGCTGAGCCATTTCTTCTCTGCCCGGGTGCACTTCTTGCTGGGGAGGCCGCCTCGACAGAACCAGCAAGAGCAAGGGCCGCAGTGAAAGCGGCTTTTAGAGAGAGACCGAACATGGCGATCGAAGTCAAAAACGTGATGCGCACGACGGATATGTTCTGGACGAGGAAGGGACCGAGGGCTGCACGGGCACGGGCACGCTCGAAGACTAACACGAATAGGTCAAGCAGGAGAAAACCGTGACCACCTCTCGTTTAAAGTGGGAGCGAGCGAGCCACGGAATCTTATCCGGGGAGGGGAGGAGATATCGAGAAGTTTATATGCAGACCAACCGGCCGACCGACAGAGTTTCCCCCTCTCAATACCATCCAGTGTGCCTCTGGACCCGGGCGAGCCCGCAATCTCGCGCCGTCGGCTAGGTTCATCGCTGTGGACCTCTTGGTGTCACCCCTCCCTTCCTCACCGTGGCTGTTGAGGATTGCAACCGCGCGCCGTCGCATTTTATCCCAATTCCCGGTTCAGCACCCCGGGCGAGATGGAGAAGGCGAGAATATCAAGTACGCAAGAGTTTAAATCGTCGATATAGCCTAAATATATTAAAAACCCACCCGTCCCCATCTGGAAACTCGGAACGGCCCCACACAGCCAACGACACGAGGGAATTCGATGCGACTCGACGAGCCACGGGCGGAGGGTAGAAAGGTGGGCTTGGGGAAATTGGGTGGGGAATTCTACCCATCGACGGACTTGTCCCGGCAGCAATTGACAGGACGGAAAACACCGAGCCGGGGAGGGAATAAAGGGGAGAGCGAAAGTGACGCGGAGAGGGAGAGAAAGAAAGGAAGAGAGAAGCGTACGCGCGCTCTGGATCTGCTCTCGTCTGGGTCGATGTGACGTGGGCCTGGGACCCTCCCTTTCGTCGGGATGATCCCCATTTATCGGTCACCTCCATGCCGCGCTGCCGACGCAGGAACAACTTCACTTGGACGTGCCAATTCGAATACGTGTCTGTGTGCAGAGCAGCTGGCCTTCTCTCGCACCTTTTCTTTTTCTTCTATTTTTTCTCGTTTCTCAATTAAGCTGGTAAGTTTATATTTACCATTGCGGTGTCATCATTTTACGGGTGCAATGGCGGGCGGCTTTCGGAATCTCGGGCGTGCTAAAACATTCACGGATGGGAACGACAAGGAATGGGGGAATCACTAATTTTTGATTTTTATCTTCTGTCTTGGTTTGGTTTTGTTTTTTCTTTTTCAAACAGAAGACCGCCCAGTTCCAGGAGATTTTGCGCTAATCCAAACCATGACATGACAGATCAAGGAAAAAAGTTACAAGCAAATATGAGAAACAAGTAGAAGGGAATTTAACATGCACACTTTGGCTGACCCGGAAGCAAAATGCAGGGGAACGAATGGAAGGGGAACGAATGGAAGGGGAACGAATGGAAGGGGAACGAATGGAAGGGGAACGAATGGAAGGGGAACGAATGGAAGGCGAACGAATGGAAGGGGAACGAATGAAAGGGGCGAAGAAAGAAAAGAAATGGACAGGACGGGGAGGAAGAGAAGATCCATGCGAGACGATGCGAGACGATGCGGTACACGCTCAAGCGAAAACGATTAAGGTGGACGAAAATCTACCCCCTGGAAGACTCATCGGGTCGTGGCAAGACATAAATCTTGTCTCCCCTCTGACAGCAAGCAACTCTTCTATCGAATCCATCCTGAGGGCCTTGGCCGATGACAAAATCATCGGGGACCGGGGGCCTTCATGGTGGACGAGGACAAAACCATCAATGGTTTGGTGACAGTCGTTTTCAAAGTCCTCCATGGAAGTGTAAACTGGGATTTTCACCCAATCCCTTTCTTCAATGGGCGGGGAAAGCTTCATCGATGTTGCCCAAGAAATGACAGCACGGGTCGGCTTCCATCGAGGGGCTTCCGTCGAGGCCCCGGTGACTGCGGAGCCCGGCGGTGTTCTGCTGTATACAGTACTCCACCCAGTTATTTCGTTCACGACTCCTCTTAAACATCTTGGCTATTGCTCGAGCGCTGGCATACTCCCCACCAGAGGTGGGCTATATGCGTCACTAACGTTATGAGGGCCGCCGACGTCGGGCGCTGCGGCGGTCTGGCCGTCGGTGACTGTCGTGGTCGAAGGGAAGATAGCCGCAGAATGTGGGGCACTCGGTGTCAACATGGCGGCGGCGTCGCCAGGGAAGAAGTCGTCATGCTGACTACTGAGCTCTATCCGCTGAGTGAGGTGGAGAGGAAAGCCGCTTGTCGGGTCCGCGACGTTCAAGGCCATCGCCGTATCCATCTCAGCCCCCATCGGCATGTTGCTGTCGAGCTTCAACCTGCTGAAGGTGTCGAAAAAGCCTGCGTCGACCGGCTCTGGATGAGGGTGGCACTCGTCAATCTCCTGGTCGTGGGGAGGTTCCTGTCCAGCAACTGGGGCGGGTCACGAGGGCGAGACTCTTTGCAGACAAGATACTTGTCACCCTTCCGCCGGCCCGTGGCGGATTGGTCATGGTTCTTTCGACTAGACATTTTTCAGATCGTGTTGAGTCGGGAGTGCAGTTTGGGGGAGCGAGGCCTGTTTGGTTAAGCGCACGGCAGGCGTCACAACCAATCGCCTTGGGGCCGTCCTTTGTATTTCGAAGCGGCCGGGCAAAGGCAGATATGTATGCTGGTCCGTTAGAGGTATGTTTTATTGTCATGGGCCGATCTTGAGATAATGCCAGCGGCCGATCCGCAACGGCCGGAGGGCGCGGATTTTGGGTGGGGCCAGAGGGACGGAGGTCTCGATACGAGCAGAGATATTGAAGCGGAGGGTGAGTACTGTGAATATGAATGGATCTAGGATCTATTATCACTATGGTACTGATAACAGGTCCCAGATGGGAAGAGTTGATGGTTAAAAAAAAAAAAAAGGTGTGGTTTGGCTGGCGGATCCACGAGGGTGGGAGGAGAGGCCGATAATATATTCGACTCGGTCGCGGGAGGAGCGAGTAGAGCCAAACCACCTCAAGGGTTATTTTGTCATGGCTCAACCCCACTGATATATTTCCCTTGCTCCCTCAACTGAACACGCTGAACTGGCAAGAAAAACAGGGCGAGCAAAAACGTTACTAACGACTGGTGACGGGGCAAGGGGGGCAAGAGTGGTGTACCTCTAGTTGTCACTTGGTTCAAGTGAGGCGGACCCGCTCAGAACATGGCTGAACTGGACTGATGGAACATTGAAGCGTTCGACATATCCATCATTGTGTTGACGGTACCGTTGTTGACGGTATTTTGTGTTGCGCCTACTCCCACCGTTTTTCTGTCCTGGATCCCGAAGATATCCATTGATCAATCTGTCTCGTCGTTTCACAACCTCTATAGCGCCTTTTCTACAGCACGATGTAGCGATTTTACTACAAATTCGAAGGTCTACGGTCTTGGAAGTGAGGCTACCGAAGTAGAGGCCACACCACAATTGGCGGATGGAAATCATAGGGCCGATCCGGTAACGGCATCCATTTTCTCACCACCTCGCCCTTTCCATCGTTCCTTTGGAATTTTTTTATTTTCTTAAGGGGTGGGGTGGGGCTTAACCAAGGAGAGAAATAGGGGAGAGACGAAAAGGAACCTGAAGAATGGCGAGAGATTGTGCATTTCCAACAAAAGAAAACAAACGGCAAGTTCGAGAGTCGGCTATACCTTCACTTCACGCCGAGTTCGGCGATTTTCAGTTTCACGATCCCACAGGACAAGACTCAAGGCTGGCGGTGCATGCTGTTTTGCCACCCTCTCAGCCCAACTTTGGAACACTTTATTCTTGGGGCAGCCCACATCGGGTATCAAACGCCTCTAGCCATCGGAAACAGAAACGAGCACGAAGAAGATGCAAGAGAACAGCGGTCGAAGTCAAGTGGCAGGACCTTGAGGAGGGGTCTAGGCCATCAGCGAGCTACGGCTGCGGGACTACGTCGGCGGGGAGGCATAGGACCACGCGCACACTTTTCCAAGAGAAGGGGCAACGCGCGCAACGCGATGCGCTTTAGTCCTCAAAGGAGTCCGCCACGACACGACACGACACGACACGACAGGGCATTTGATGAAGAAAGAAACCAGAAACCATATTAAGAGGTCTGCGTTGACGTCATGGCGACTTAGGCTACCATGTCGTCAACCGATGCGACGGGTAGATCTCACCCCTTGTGGTAGATCTCACCCCTTGTGATGTTGTGCGGTGATGTGCGATGATGTGGAATCGTTCGATGGTCGAGGACATTGAGATGCTGAAATCGCTGGAGCCAGCGACACAAGGCCCAAAACCACCAATCGTGGGTGCCAGCTTGCGGACGGGCGGTGTTGGGCGTGGCGGTCTACTCGGATCAACAACGGCCTGGACCTCTGGACCTGTAAGTCTAGACTGGCCGAATGGATTAAATAGGTCCATGGGAAAATCCTATGTTCATTGCCGACAACACATGAGCATAATTGGGATCCATTTGCTGCTTTTTCCTTGGTTTTCTTTTTTGTCTCCATGCTCCCCCAATCCTCTTCCCCCTCCAAACCCATTTCTCGGGCTCTGGACCCTGGAAGGCTTGACTTTCCTCCTTGGGATCTCGACATGTCACGGTTCGGTACCAAGGACTCCAATGCTGCATCAATTGATCTATCAAATGCGACGGAGATTTTACTCAAGGCTTTCCTTCTCCTAGTTCTTTTGGACCCTGGAAAATCTATACAAGTCAACTCAGCGCTGTTGAGGAGGACGAGGAGGGGAGGGGCGGAAACGAGGGGTCAGGCTGCCCTGACTGCGCCCCTACATCTCTCGCTCGGATGGTGCTCTTCTCCATCCTCCCACCCCCTCTTGTCGATGACGTCGATCGCCAACGTCGTCAAAGTCAATGTTGTGCCAGCCCCTAGAAAGTGTCGATCAAAAACTTTGGCAGCTCGTGGCAGCTACGAGTCCGAACCGGCCCTATTTTCCCCCATGGCTTAGTTCGTCTGTCATGACAGGTGGCTTGGCCTTCTTGAAGCTTCCGTTTCAATCGGAGGGGCGGTTGGAAACCGCACCGATCACAAGCAAGTCTAGCTCCCGACCACAAACTCGTGCTGGTCAGATTTAAGTGGATCAATTCAACGTTTTGACGCGATGATTTTTGGCTTGGCTTGGCTTGGTTTGGGCTTGGGCTTGGGACCACCGCCCTGGCACTAGTCGTCTGCACATCAAGGCCGCTCGCTATTACTGGAAGAAGGCTAAAAAAACGAGAGGAACATGAGCTTTGAAATCCACTTTAACTGATCACTCAAGCAAATCGTCTTCTCAACCCCCAACCTCAGCCCCGCGCACAAGCCAAGTACAGCATAGGAGTTCCGGAAGAGCTTATTGCTTATCCACGCTGACGCCTTAGACTGTGGGGCTAGTCCAATGTTTCTCTAGATCAAATTGTTCATTTTGGTCGGGACGTCTAATACGAAGTACTAGGCGGTTTCGAATCTTTCCATGCCGTTTCCTAAGCCCAACATGCATGATTTTGCTCCATGTACAATCGATAGATCCATCAACTGATGTTAATACGAAGTTTTCGTTCAAGGTTGAAGTTGGCAAAGAGTGGGGTGGGCGTTCCTAGTAGCAGAACGAGTCAGAAGGAGTTCAATGTTAGCTTTCTTGCTCCATTGCCTTTCCCCATTGGATTGTTGCGTTGCTTGGCCGCGGTTACACCAAAACAGGGTGTAGTGAAGCCAACACAGCTCTAGATAATCATCAACGAATCCAATGGATTGATGAAATGGATGCCTACCCCTCACCATGAAGTGTGTGCAGCTGGGTCCCCTGAAACACATTAATTGGTGCTGGTGGCGAAAGTCACCCATCTCGTCCATCCATCATAGCCTGGCCTATAAGCAGGGGGCTTTCTCACATCTTGGCTTTGTCGGGGTTTTTTCTTCTTTCTTTTTGCTCTCTTCGTTTTACCCAATGCCAAGTATTGTAAACTAAGCTATAATAAGTCCTGATAAAAGTGAAGACTGTGAATGCGCTTCTCACGACAGCGGCGGCGTGTGCGTAGTGGAATTCTGTGGTGCGGAACAACCCACAACGAGCAGCATCCATCTCCATCTCCCTACACACCCCGATCTCAACATCAGCCCAGAATGACGGAGCTGTCGAGTACTCTTGAGATGCGAGGTCCCGAATGACCTCTGACGTCGTCGGGACAACAGGTTGGCCTAGATGGAAAGATATCATATGTCCCGAGATCGGCGCCCTTGAACGGAGAAGGGAGTTTTGCCCAGGCCGACGAGCCGTTTTGGGTCGAGCGAGATGACGATGACGATGAGGAGGAGGATGATGTACATGGTGCTTGAGAGGTGCCACTTTGTTTCTTTTCGTCTTCGGTCAGCGCCTCTCCTCCAAACCCCCCGCCCCCCAGCTTTGCTTTTTCCCCACATGCATGCTGTATAACCCTTTCCTTTTTCCTTCCCCTCCATCTTCGGCGGAAACCTACGAAGTATTACAGATGCTCCTTGTGGTTTCCCTTGGACCCGACAGCGGAAACCAGCCCAGCCCCGTTGCCTAGTAGATGAGCAGTTCTGATGGTTCGCCTCAAAGCACTAGTTCGCCCGCAACTACATGTATGGATGTAGCGTTCACATGCCACCTACTACAACGCAGCATGAACCCAACAAAAAAGAAAAGAAAAAGAAAGGTGCCTCCACAGCCATGGCAGGATTGCGTGGCTGATGGCGTGCACATTGAAACGACAAAAAACCAATGGAAGTCCGAGTCCTGGCGAGAGAATATTATCATGATCGCAGGTTGATGATGTCTCGTCTTCTCCTCTAGACCTGGGAGCATGTTTCGTTGTACGTGATGTGCTACAAGTACACTGCCTCTGTTCCGTCTGTCTGTATGGGCCTTGGTAAGCGCGAGCTTCCGATGACCATGGTGCCACCTTGGCCGTTTCTCAAGGCGACTGAGGCAAAGAAAACCGGTGTGCGTCCCTAGTCCCCCTCGTCGCTGTTATCTCCGGTGTCTTGTCCCTTGATCGGCATGGAGCTGGGAGCTTAATGGCCTTTCACGTGGTTTGTTTGGTCAACCCCACCCCTGTTTTTCCTCTTCCACGATGTCCTTTGAGACGATCTTCGCAGCCATCCATTCAACGTTCTTTTCGCACATTTCCCAACATACCCACCCTTTCAAAAACACAGCCACCTTCCCTCGTCTCTACTTCGCCTTGTTCACAAAAGAAACCGTAGCTCGGGGAACAGCCTCCGGTGAGCCAGTGTTCTAGAAAGAATGAAAAATACAACTTGAATGCATAGGGCCCTACATGGGATGCGCAGAGACATGGATCGATTCCTCTACTACATCCATAATAACCTTGTGTCATTGTTGCCCTCCTTCGCTTGCTCCCGCCCCATCTACATTAGTCTGCTTGTAGCATCCCTTCTACATCACTTTCTCCACCCCCTACTAATCAAGCTTATTCGGACTTTTCGGGCTTTCAAGTTGCCGTCCCACCTGCCTTCGCCTCAGCTGGGAAGCTTACAATAGATTCTACCTTTGGTTGTTGCTCCACACAATATGGTAATATCTGGGACGACTGCATCGCTGGACAGACAGAACCTGTCTTAAATGGCTGCTTAATTGTATACAAAACACCTCCAGGGTGGCTGCACCATGGTACAGCGCAGTACATCTGCATACATACTCGGGGTAGAGAAGTGCATCAACTCCACGTTTGTGTCCGCTGTTTCCCGCATGCGACTCCAGATTTGCTTGCCAACTCAGGAGGAGGGTGGTCGGTGGAGGTTTTGAGCAGGGCCCGCGATTGCAGTTTGCACGCTTTTCCCGAAATGGTTGAATCCAACAGGCGAAGAAAAGAAGAGGAAGAAAAAGAACATGCCTCCCAAACGCCTTGTTGATGACTCGACTCTTTTTTGCAAGGGTGTAATACAACGAGGCGATAAGCACGCCTTTTCTGCCCACTCTCACTCGGCCTGAGATGGCGGGTGACATGGTGTGCAGCGATGATCTATTACCCACGGTCTAATGCAAAATGTCATGTCTAACCCAAGTCCCGTTGCTCCGAAGAGATGCAGAATGCTCTAAACCCACCGAGTGTCAACCCCTTACAGTCCGCCTCCGCCCATCATCGGGGTATCTCTAGTATAATAGAAAATGGAAAGAAAAAAAAAAAAAAAAGCAATAGGGAGAGTTCACCCGAGGGAGGGTCCACACCCCCTTTTTGGAACCCAACACACAGCAGCACGTACACATGTGCGCACCTAATATACCGCCTTAGCACTACATGTACCTTCCAAACACGCACCGGCACTCTGGCCGAGTGCTGAGCTCTTGGCATCGAGTACGCATGAGTCATTCCTTGGACCGGCTTCGTTCCGCCTCCTGTGACCTCACATCGTATGCCCATCGCCTTCCGCCTTCTCAAGAAGCGAGCGAGGACGCCGCAATCGTGCTCGTTTTGCGTCGGAGCCCAAAGGCTTTGAGACGCCTTACCACCTGGTAGGATCTTTCCAACTCATTCTCAACTGTACATCGGACCCGAAGCGCGGCGACCGCTTGATACACGCTCCTCTCGCCCTTCAAGATCCAGTAATCCAATGTTTCCGTCGTCGGCTGCTCGAGAAGCCTGCTAAAGTCAGCCAGGTCCACTTGGGGCACCAGCGTCAGGCTGGTTCCGGGAACACGCTCGTCGACGAGAAACCTCCGGATGCTTCCCGGTAAAGGTTTAGAGTGTCGAGCTGCCGCAGCCGGTGGCGGACCTCCAACCCAACCATGCGCACGAGGAAGCTCGTCATTTGCGTCGTGCGGCTGCGCGTCTCGGTGAGCGATGGGCCGTGCATATCGCTCTGTAAGAATGGGATTAGGTAGGGCCGTGCCTGTGACACGATGAAGTGCGTCACGTTCAAAAGCTCTGCTACTCGTAATAGAGGGGACTCGCGGTCAGCGTATGAGACCTGGCTCCAGTGACGAAAGTCAATTGTGTTTCCCGGCGGTGCCCAGTCGACAATCTCGCCCTGCGCATCCTTGCACAGGAGCGTTGTTCGCTGGTGGCCATAAAGGGAGGTCGAGCTAGCGTTTGATGCCACCGCCGCGGTCCGTATAAGCTGCGAAGAGGTTAGCTATGTGCTGGCGGCGGGGGAAAGGGGGCACACGGCGCATGGGCGCCAACGCCAACGCCACCGCAAGGCACAACGTACAACTTTGGGGGTCGTGAGATAATTCATGAGCGTGGGCACCCTCCATCTTCACCGGTAGCCACTGTGATGTTGAGGATTCTCTTGCTCCGGTTGTAAGCTTCCTCGAATGTTAAATCGCCGACATTAGCTCGGACGCACTCCTCGAGCACCCGCACGTCAAAAAGTGGCCTTCGAACAGAAATCTGTTGACCCGCCTTTTGAGCGTGGCCCACCGTGTGGCGAGAGTCTGTTCCTCTCTCCTGCTGCTTGTTTTCCCCGCAAACGCCGAGAGGTTAATACCGTCGCCCTTGAGAATGTGAGGGAGTTCATCTTCTGTATGAATGGATACAAGCGCCGCGATCAGAGCTCCAGTGCCGGTGCCCGTGATGATCCTTGGCAAAAGTCCGCGGAGGAACAAAGCCTTCACCACACCAAGGTGGCATAGGCCAAATACAGCACCCCTTGAAGAACAAGCGTGCTCCGACCAAACGCCTGCCTTGTATCATGAATAAAGTCCAACTTCATCTGCGTGGTCAGCTGGGGAACTCCTTTTACATAGCCGCCGCCGCCGCCGCCGTAAGGTGTCACGGTTGGCAGAGCCGTGATCTCCTCGATGCATTCCGCTATCTGGGAAATGTATTCCTCAATGAGGTACTTGGTGCCGGCAAACGCCTTGTTGTACAGCCTCGGAGCTGTGATACTGCCAAGGTCCCGTACTAACCCACTTCGCAAAAGGTTGATAATTTGATAGAGGTCGTTTTCTTCTCTCGCCGTCGCGAGGGTGTTAAGGCGTTGATTTATGAGGCGATAGTCGTAGAATTGCGAAACAGGGTTATTGCGCCAGAGGTCCAACCCGAGCAAGTTGTCGAGATGCAGGGCTGCCTCCTCCCAGTCTTCGTAGGTCTCGGCGCCGTGGAGGAGGTGAAGCCATAGATCGACCGGACTCCTTCGAAAATAGAGATGCCATATTTTCTAGAGAGGAAGAAGAGGAAGATTAGTCGCATTCTTTCCAATCCGGTACGTACGATTGCCAAGCGAGAGCAATAGGCCGCCCTTTCCACAAGAGCACAGCTCTCTCGCCAGCCACATCAGGACAAAGACTCACCCGCCACCAAAATCGTAGCACATCTAGGAGCATGTGCCAAATGGCAATGAGTATTCGTAGGCCAAACATTGCATGCTGCGCCGGCCGCGCGCCGGCTAAACCATGAATTTGGGGTCGTCGGCGAGCTGCTAGGGGTGCAAGGTAGGTCGATGACAAGGTCTCGAAAGACTACTGGGTGTTGAGATGGTAGGGTCCCATGTTCTGCTGATGGTGTGAAGAACGGAGAAACTGGATAGACAATGGCCACGAGAGCCAAAGGCCAAAATACAATGGAAGAAGCGTGGAGACCTAGCTGGTGGGGACTGGATACAGGAAAAAAAGGTCGGCAAACCCCATGTGGCGGGATCTGACCTTAATATGTTGAGGGCCGAGAAGTCAACGGCACAACAGGAATTGCCATGTGATCCAATATTACTGTTTGAGCCGGACAGAGAAGGCACATTCCGACATTGTCAATGACAGAGCAAGCGTGGGGTGGTGGGGCAAGAGCCATAATAAGCAAAGCTAATTGGTTGATGAGCCTGAGCTACACACCTACACCCTTTTCCCCACATCAATTGAGCAATCGGCAGTAATACAAGTAAAAACACCCCACCACCACTGGTTGATCGACCAGCAGCCACTGATCACTAATAGGACCCGTCTTGCCGTCATCTTTCATGCTCGAGTGCTGATTGTTGGATTATTCGCCCTCGGGGAACAATGAGGAGTCGGCTCTTGGTGAGCGCATCACTTGCCAGGTGTGCCGAATTACTTGTACAATCCCTCTCGTGTGGCATCTTGCATTGGCGAGAATAAGCCAGTTGTCAGCCCACCCAGGGCCAAAGAGCAAAACCGACAAACGACATATGGATTCGAATCATCGTGAAGCCTCGGCTTGCCCTCCTAGCCGTTGGCGCATCTGGGTTTCGGCTTCCTGCGGCGCTGTTGTTGGCGGTGCTGCTCACGGAGGCTAGCCTAAAAGACCCAGAGCTTCCTCGCACAAAATCGCACCTAGGGTATATGAGCTGGATATCCTCGACACACTAGCACATACGACCATAGCTCGCAGATAATTGAGGGTCCCGTCCGCTCCCCTGTACACAAGCTGCGAAGCGCCGGACTAGTAGTTGGGTCGGTGACGACCAGCGAATCCCCGGTGTTGTATGTTTTTTTATTTCTCTTACTTTTTTATTTATTTATTTATTTCAATAATACCGGGGAAGCAAAGGTATAGATTAGCATCACCCAACCTATACACTCGTGCGTAATATCAAATCAAACTCAGTCCGAAATATACGTGTAGAGAATGGACGCAGAACCAGCCAAACTACCTACCCAGACCAGCTTTCCACCCCCTTACTCTACCATCCTAAAGCCCATCATACGCACACCATCATCCTACTCCACGGACGTGGTAGTACGGGCCAGGAGTTCGCAGACGAACTCTTTGCTTCATGTACCTCAGCCCCAGAGTCCCTCCGGGATAGTCTCCCGGGTTGGCTCTGGGTATTCCCTCGTCCAAGGAAGGATGGAATAGTAAATTTCAAGAATCTATGCCAATGTGGTTCGACACACCTTCATCCATAGAGCCGTCTACCGATGCCGTCAACCTTTCCTCGGGCATCGAAGAGTCCGTCACGCACATTCTCCAAGTCCTACGAGACGAGACGGAGCGGCTAGGTGGCCGTGCTGAGAACATCGTCCTTGGCGGCATCAGCCAAGGCGGCGCTGTCGCCATGTGGGCCTTGCTTGCGCTTCTCGCCGCAAACGGCACCGAGGACCGATCCCTGGGGGTCGTGGGGATGAGCACATGGCTGCCATTTGCGCCCGAGGTGCAAAGCTCCCTGGATCGCGACATTCCCTGCACCCAGAGTCCCGATGGGTTCATCCGCAGAACCCTAAGTTCTCTACGAAAACGGACCGAAGAGGGGTCTTGTGCAGCATACCTGCTTTTATGGGTCACGGTACGGACGATGCCTACGTAGATATCAAGCTCGGGCGCGAGGCAGCCCACATTCTCTCGGGTTTCGGGTTGAGGGTGGAATGGAAAGAGTACGTGGGCGCTGAACAGGAGGGTCACTGGATACAAATTCCTGATGAAGTAAACGATTTTGTAAGCTTCTTGCATAGGGTAGAAACGTAACCTAAGCTAGATATTAACCATTACAACTGCTATCGCTGAGCCGCCCTTCGCTCCGCTTACAAGTCTGATATTCTCGATAGGAACTACTACACGTGTAGATACTTGCTTAATCAAGAGAGTTTACAATTTGCATGACCGAGAATTCCTGTGGATACTCTCCGATGGCAACATTGGGGAGGTACAGGGCGAAATCTGACCAACGGCTATCCACGCTCACCCCGAGACGGGCTTTCACAAACTCTAGTGCGCCGGGTACCACCCTGCTTGCCCCCAGCCCGTGAGAGCGACGATTTTTAGGTTCTCGAATTGATAAGGATCGGGGCTGTCAGCCCAGGTCACGAGAATGTTGTCAGGGTGAAGGGCGCCGTGAGTTAGGACTACCTTGTACCCGTTCTTGAGGTGATTGCGTAGCCTTCCGGCTTCCCATCCGGCACCATTCTGAAGAGGTAATCCTGCCATTCCGTTTGGCTCACGTCGATGCCGGTTCGAACGTTCCATTTCGTGTGATCTCTATGTGCGCATCTGCCGAAACTTCCAATAAGTTGGAAATGTCTGATGCGTTGCTGGGAATACGAACGAAGCCAGCCGAACAGTACCTCGAGTTGATGTCGAATAACCCACTTTTGCTGATATAACATGAACGGCCAGATCCGGCCAAGTGACGTCCCCTCGATACGACTGAGAAAGGTGTAAGTGAAAATTCCACTCTCCAGACAGCCTAGCAGTCTTGGTGCTGGGAAATCGGGAAGGGTCATATTGATGTACTCGAGGTTCAGCGCGTCGTCAATGTTGTAAGGCTCGACTGTGATCTTGACCACGATAGTACTAGTGAGCCCCCAGATCGCGCATCGGGGGCCGAGGATAGGCATTTGGCGCCTCGGAGCAACTGGTTGAAATTGGCGACAAACTTCTCGCCGGGTTCTCGCCATGGTCCTACTTCCTGTGTATGAGGATCTCGACTCCATCAAAGCCTAGAGTATTTAGGAGTTCCACTGCGAGTCGCTTTAGGTTTCTGACTGGGTGGAGGGTGAAAGAGCCAGTAAAGTAATCTGGCTTGGGGTGATGGCGGTGGTGGTATGGTCAAATTGTGCGTAGGCGCGAGTCGTGTTCCTTGCGGTGAACCTGCCGAGGTCCCGGAGGTGAGCCCCTAGCCTTTCAAAAAGGCCTCTTGTTTCAGCGGCCGCGAGTTCTAGCTGAGCCACCTGCTCCCTTGGCGAGGCCCAAGCCTCCCTTTCTGGAGGTGCTTCCATCAGTGTGGCCTACATATACTCTAGAGTAAGAATATTCCTAGCCCTAAAAGTTCCTTTGTTAGAGCGAGGGAGACGGCCTCTTGGGCATGGGGTACGGAGATGCGAAGTACGGAAAATGAGTGCTAGAAGATGGGGTAGGACTATCGAGGTGGACATTGATCAATTGATGGATCCATGTGGTTAGAGGCCGCGCCACCTACAAGTAGTTGACATACCCAGACTTTTGACCCATTCTAGAAGGCGTGGGAGGGGCCTTGGCCATTCATGACCTCTAACTCCTTCCGAAAGAGCCGGAGATGTCTGGAGATGGAAAGCGCGCATGAGAGAGTATTGGAGAGAGAACCGGAAGGAGAACCGGACGGACAGGGCGCAATGCGGCTAGGACTTGACGCCTCAATCGCCTAAACACTCAATGGATCCGATGAATCTTGAACAACATTTATAAAATAGTGTATTGTACAGGTCAACCATATTACCTCTTCGAAACCAATACCGTTGATGCGCCGTTGGACTTTTAGCCGAATAGTGTCCTTTGGACATGCGTTTCCCGCCTGTAGCTCTAGTCATCATCATCGTCGATGATGTTGCGCCTCCTAGCCCTTCCAGAATGATCGCCGGATGCGCCTGGGCCAATATCGTCGTCTTCCTCTCCAGAGGCATCCTCCTCATCTGACACTTTCTTGGTCTTGGGCCTTTTGGATTTGGGCTTCTCATCTTCATCGTCATCATCATCGTCGAGCACTTCTTCATCCTCCTCATCGTCCTCTACTTCTTCCTCGTCATCGCTAGGCGCGATAAAATCATCCGCCAAGTCATAATCCTCCTGGAACCGCGCGCCAGCTGGGCGCTCATCGTCCGAGTCGTAGTCAGGCCGACGCCGCTTCGCCTTTCCGCCTCCCACTCCGCGCTTACGCCCCGCTCCTGGAGCTCGCCGAGAACCTTCCAAATCATCAATCTGGAGCCCGCCGCGGCTATACCGAGAACCACCGTCCATCTTCGCCGCCACATTATCGCGACGTCTCTGTGCCTTGACGCGTTCCTTCTCGGCCATTTCAGCAACCCTTCGCTGGAGCTCAGGGTCGTGTGTTGTCTTGATGATTCTACTAGCCTCATCTTGAGCCTTGGCCTCGCGCATGCGCATGGCCAGCCGTTGTAGGGCATCGTCTTCGAGGTCCTTATTGAGACGAACGGTGTACTCTTCGGCGATATGGCCCACGACGAGGAACAGTCCACTGCTCAAATGGGCTGCGGCTGCGTAGGAGTGCCCGTCCTGGAGCTCGTTGTAGGGCTTGTTGGGAGGGGGACCGTGGCCTTTTTCTGAATAGCAAAGTGTTGGTCCCCAACGGACATGCTCACAGAGCCGTCGCTCCATCTGTACATCATCGCGTTGCTCTTCAACTCCCCTGTTTCGGGATCGTTGTAATATCGTACCGCAATTTTCTTATTTCCGGTTTTCGCGTTCTCGACATCCCAGGTCGATGGCTCGAACGTCTTGGATTCGTAAGGTTCCGGTACAAACTTGATAAAGTCGGGTACTTTAAGGGATTGGATCTAGCGATAAATACGCGTGAGCATGAATTCTGTGCTGATGAAAATACCCGTTTGAGAAGAGAGAGAGGGAAAGAAGAAGGCCAAGAAAGAGCTGGGGGAGCCTGATGCTTACCGTGCCATCTTTTGATTTCGGCGCACGATGCCTGAAAACTTGGATACTCGCGATCACTTTGTCCTGGTGGCGCGGGGCCTCGTCGTCGCTTCCATAGCCTCCAACATCATTTCCTCTCTCTGCGTCCGAATCAAGATCCTTGTCGCTCAGGACTTGAGCATTGGGGGAGCCGCCAGCATCATCCTCATCGCCGAAAAGGTCGTCGCCTTCGTCGACAAGATCAAGAGGTTCGTCGGAATCAGACATGATACTTTCTTGGTCTCTAAAGAACGCGCTGATGCAAGTGAGAGAAATGAATGTGGATCTATGGGTGTCGAAAAGTCGCGTTGGCCGATGCAAGAAATTGTTCGTAGATGGTTGATCCAGCACATACACAAGGCTGTCACTTGAATTGATAAGGCTCGTTCCTTCCTTCCTTCACACTAAAATCAACAAGGTTGGTCCAAGCTGTGCAGCAGACCACACCAACTGATAACACTTGTGTACTAGGTGAATGTCTAGTCTACTCGGAAAAGCTCCTCTAAGAACAAGGAAGAAGATAAGCAGCCAAAAAAGCAAAAGAGGATGAGAAAATCTTCGATATTCTTACACTAAATTAAATATCACTTTTTTATTTTTATTTTTTATAGTATATACTAAATCTTCTCCCCTTCATAATTTATAGCTGTTTGAGGAGAACAGAAGAGTTTGAAGAATGAAGGTATTTGCATTTATCATGGTAGGCCGCCTGCCAGCTGGTCTTGCAATATCTTGCCACTCAGGTTCGTCGATGAATCACATCAATCTGTTTGTGGGCCAGGTTTTAGGATTGACATTTCGGAGTGTCCCGCACTTTGCCCCTCGCCTAGCAAAGAAGGTACCTTGACCCCTCAGTCGAGACCATTCCTAAAAAGCTCCTAAAAAACAAGAGCCCTTTGCCCTTGGAGGACCCCGTCGGCTGGACCTAGACCAACCGTCCGTGTGCGGGCTTGAAATGATGAGCGCTCCACGCTGTGACCTGTGGACCGCGGGGCAAGTGGCATCAATTGATCAAACGGCTCAATTGGATTCGATGGTCCCCTACCCCCTTTCGCATGTCTCCTATTGAAATATCGTCTCTGGCTTCAAACACCCGCCACCTCTCATCCCTTCATATATCACACACGCCGCTAAAATCCCCATATCCTCGGTCGATCAGCCTGGCGCCAGCGAAACACAATATCTACTCCAGTGTCTGATCGCCAAAACGTCCTACCGCCTATTTTTACCTCATCATCTGAGTCCGGTAGCAACTTTGCGTCACAATCACCGCCTCTTTGTGAGGTTTGGCGCCCAAAGTCGCAACCCCACACAGACTGTCTGTTGCCCATCCATCACTTGCGTGCCCTCAGACCCCCTCCTCCCCTCCGTTTCACCGCGCCACGCGACCTTCTTCTCGGGTCGAACCAACAATGTCCAACCTATTTTCTGGAATGTGAGTTGTTCTCTAGTTTTTATCTCTTGTATCATGGGATGCTTTGTCCCAAACTGCCATATCTATGCCCGGCGCAACACTAGCTGCCCGAGGTCATGGAGCCCGGGTGAGCGCTCTCGGGTAGGACAAGAGGGCGGGCGACTATGGAAGGTCCGTCTCGAGTTTCTCGAGGAGTCTGAGTGTCCGCCGACCTGGGCCCAGCTAGGCACATGTCCGTTCCTAAATCTGATGAATTCCTAACCTCCCCTCCGCCTCCCCTTCCCTGCCCACCCTCTTGCGCATCACGCTTGGCTTGCGATCTTCCTTGCAAGGGCATATTGCAATTTAAAGCATGCGGCCCTCCTGCGGATGCTAGACCGACCACCGAGCTCCTGGCCCCTCGCGCCCCATCCTCGTCTCCTTTCCGCTGTCTTGCTCTCATCCAAGATATAGACAGTCCTACGGCTTGAGCTTGGCCGATCTCTGGGCACTTCTTGAGCTCGCATCAGTGGAGAAGCTGGAGATAAAGACAAGCATCCAATATATATATATATATATATACATATATGGGTCGCACATTTGTTTATTTCTCCTAACCTCGAATCAAGCCTGGCACTAGATGACCCAGTTCACCGTCTTGAACTTGGCTTTCCATGATCTTGAACTAACACCCTTCTCCTCCAGAAACGCCCGCTTTCGCGGAGCTAGCACGAGACCTCCTGGCCAAAACAGGAGCCCTACGGCTTCCGGCCAGCCTTCTCCTACTGCACTCCCCCAGCACGGAAACCATTCGTCCTCTAACCTTGCCCCCGTGTCCCCCTTTACCAACCTCACCTTCCTTATCGCAGACGATCGGCATGGATGAAGCTAGCGGAATCATGTCTACGGACGACGTCCTTAGCGCTTATGCGTTGCCCAAACCCCTGCCTCTCTGGCTCAACCCTTCCTATGCCAAGCATATCGTGAAGGGCAACTTCATGACGTTGAGTGCCCGCCCCAAGACAGTCGAGCAGGGTGAATGGACTGCCCACCAAGGTAAGCCCCAGCTCTTGGCGAGTGTAGGCGCGCACGTCGTCTTCGTCGACTCCTCTGCATCACGGTGACTAATATAGGCATTGCCTACCTACAGTGGTCGAGCATTACCGAAACCTGTGGAATTTTGTCCGTGTCCTTCATGAGAAAGAGGATGACGGTACCACCATCTGCAACGCGACGACGTGCCCGAAGATGTCGGCTGGGGCGTAAGTTTCGAGCATTATTCATGATGGGCCCTGGCCATCCCGGCACCGTCGTATCGTGTCTAACTAGCGGTGCCACATAGAAACCACTCCTTCACGTGGCTGAACGCCCAGCGCGAGCCCGTCGAGCTGCCTGCTCACGAGTACATGACGCTCATGCAGAGATGGATCTCGGGCAAGATCGACGATACCAAGATCTTCCCGTCAGACCCCGCTGGTGTCTCATATGCTCACAACCCAGCCATCACCACCACCCCTCTCTCTCAGCTCTCCAATCCGAACGAGAAGGACTATGTGGGCAAGCGATCTGGTTTCCCCGAGCCGTTCATTGATGTTTGCCAGACCATCTTCCGTCAGATGTTCCGCGTATACGCTCACCTCTACTGGGCTCACTTTGTTGACCCCTTCTACCATATCAACCTGGAGAAGCAGCTCAACAGTTGTTTCAGTCACTTTATCCTGACAGCGACCGCTCTAGATATGCTTAAACCCTATGAATTGGAGCCGATGCAGGCTCTGATCGATCTCTGGGCTGCCAACGGTACCTTCCCCCGAGTCCAAGGCCTACGAGTATGCCAACCTACGTGCCGGCGAACGCCTCATGCAACTTGCTGGAGCCTCCCAATAGTAGAGATATGAGCAGTACCGGTTCCTAGCCCGGTTCCACCGTTCCAACCGAGAAATTATGGCAGCGGTTATTTACAAGAGTCCGCAGTTTTCGGACACCAGGGTCTGGCGCACAGGTGAAGAAGGGTTGTACCCTTTTTCTAGGGGGCGACGAAAGGGTAAGAGGATGATAGAAGGCAGCACTGGATGATGGGAAAGAGCCTTCCAAACATCAAGCGGCACAATTTCGAACGAATGTGGGGAGGGAAATTTGTCGGCTTAAATAAACGGTAGAGGCAAGGAAAAGCACGAGGGAGAGATAAGCACTTACGGCCATAGTAGCATAGGATTCTGGAGACTTTTTGTACGATTGAAATTCACTCTCGAATACGTCCCATTGCCGAAACAGCGATTACCTCTTCTACCTACATGATGGAAAATGCCCAGCAACGGAGCGGGGTTTGGTTCCCATCCCCGGACGCGCTTTATCTCTCGGCGTTTCGTGAATGGCTATCTATCTGTTGTTTAAGCCACGGATAGTAGCATGCTCCTCCCAAGAAGAAGAAAATGCTGTCGAGAACGCGGCGAGACCGTGGCTGCAAGCCTGATGTGAGACATATGACGCTTAGGCGGGATTCCAAAGAGCCTTGAGGTCGCATCTCCACGTACGAATAAGGACGCTAGTGAAGCCGATTATCTGTCACGATAAATATAATCCGTACTAACGCCTCTTCTACCAGAATTGGTTGATGACTTTCTAACGTCCCCATGTTCTGGCGCATGCCTTGAGGCTACATCACCCGTGTGCTGGTACAGAATCGGGCAATAATTTCGAACCGTTGAATCTGGGTGCTTGGCGAGATTCGGACAAGACTGTGGCTCTCCAAAGTTCCATAGGCTACCCTTCCGCTTCCTCTACCTCTTTTGCGTTGCATTGCCATACTCCTCGAGGACTCTGGTTAAGAACTGTACTCAACCATACTGGTGTTGAGATGTATGCCTCGGAGAACAAGGCAAGGAGGGTCGCGCGGCCTCCTATGAGGCAGGGAACCAACTAGAGAAACAGGTAGCAACCTTGACCCCCATCCTTTCCTCTTCCAACGATAATTGAAGAAGTGTACGGGATCGACGGCTACGCGGTCTTTTGAAGAAAGGGCGACAAGTTACTTGATGGAATCACTTGGCCGATATACGCCTCCGTGCGGGGTCTCTTGAGCGGGTACGACGTGGGACATTTGGGTTCCATCAGAGTTACTCACAAAATGGGTGAACAGAGTGCGAGGAATATTACGAGCAAGAGCAGGAAGCGTGTGCCTTTTCGGTTTGCCACGGGTAAAGGGGAAGGGATCGGGTGGGATGCAGAGATGAATAAGGTAGTGGAACGGTATGGCTCCTGTCCGAGATGCGGTGCGACTCATGGGATCCGTCTTTTCTTCCCGGATTGTTTCAACTAACGGGATGACGGGAAAGGCTTCATGTTGATGGCGGCTCTCATATGCTTCCATGTCTTTCTTCCGCAAGGGTCTCGTTGAAAGGCACTTCCTCCTCCCCAGGCGAAGGGGTTACGACAGGTTTCGAAGATACCAGGGCCCTGCTTCAACGGAGGCGTGAGGGCACAGCTCGTGCCGGCGACCGCGATACATGGCTTGAGCTGTGCGAGGATAAGGGTCGGAAATGAAATGAGCTTCCACGAAAAACGGGAAGCACAGAGCCCGGCAGAGGTCAGTTGAGAGTACAGTGAAAGCCAGGTTACGACTACTCTTTTGACCTTTGGCCATCTACCCCTTTCCTCTTTCGCTATGAAACCTACAACTACCCCTTCGTTACTCCTTCAACGCCTATGGATAGCTAAACGTCTGTGAGGGGAGGGGACCATATTCTTTTTCATATTACTACGTCAAGTCTTCGGGCCTAGTCGAGCACTTTGCAAAGTGTAGAAACGGGTTACACGTAGGCCAAGGATGAAGTTTCCCGTCGCGAGAATGGCGCTAATCCAGGCCAACAACTTATCAATACGCTAAGTCTAAGGACAATGCTGGCTGTGTGTAACACAGCCTTCCCCCCTCTCGGCGGGAGCCTCGTGCCTTGTTGAATCATGAAAAGAGGGTATTCCACTCACAGTCCCCCGTCCCAGCGACGCTGCAGCCGACCGGCTACCGACTTGACAAGGGGAAAGGGGCCAAAATCTCACGTATTGGGCAAGTGTAAGGGAATGGGGCTGGGGAGGAAGGCAGAGGGCATCAGGGAAGAATAAGCTGGGTGAGGTGGACATGACAGTGCTTGAGCGAACTCGATATCTATTGATGCTCTGCACATCGGCACAGCCTACAAAGCGTCGAGTCTTGTTGCAAGTGATGTCCGCAACGCCCCATCCTTCGCTCATCCAGCCACTTTTTGGGCGAAAGAAGAGGAGAAGTGCCATACCTGCTGTCCGCAACGAGACTAGTGGTAGAGGCCAAACTGTAGTCTTCTCATCCCGGTGAACAGGAACAAGGCAAAAAGGAAGAGAGGGCTGCTTCCCAGCGATCAACCGCGCCACCAAGGCGTCGCCATCTCAAAGACATTGTCAAACGTACTGCGTAATTCGGCTGGGTTACCCCTTTGACGAATTTGCTTTCGCGGCCCTCTCTTACAATGCCGTCAGGATGCGTCAAATCCCTGCCCTGTTGGGGTTCGCGGGTACGCAGGTGTATGTCTTGGCTAGCAGTGGTTTTTTTCTCCCCTTTACCATTCACCTTTTGACTCAAAGACCGATGCTGCCTGCATGCACCCGATAGGCGTGGGCATGAGCAAGGACATCTGTTCCTCAAGGGCTGGGGGAGCGGCGGACGACCAGAGGCACGGGGAAGACGGGAGCGGTGCGTGCGACGCCAGACCCTGCTTGCTGGTGGACGATGTCACTGGGCTTTGTTTTGAGTCGGACGATCTCTTGCGATCCCGAAATAGATGACGACGGGTGCGGACTAAACTAAATTTTCCTTTGGGGGCGTTGCTCCAATCAGAGGATATGTCTGTTCCGAGCGGTGTGGATGAAAGGCAGCCATATGGATAGACCAGCCAGCCAGCCAGCCAGCTTGCGCGGTAACCAAAAAAGAAAGCAAAGGGAAGAAGGAAGAAAAGAAAAGAAGAAGGGGTATAGCCGAGCCGAAACCCGTTTCTCGGAGTCCTCTCATCGAATCGCATGATGGCTCACTCCTGCTCGCTGCTCGTCCTTCAACACACAACATCACGACTACCTCAAGCATGTGGCATGCCTCCAAACGAGGCTCGGGAAAGAAAGTCAACAGATTCTTCAACTCGTAGAATGAGCGAGAGGCTATTACCAGTTCGAATCTCATGATTTTTATGATGACGAGGGAGATAATGAGGGTGAAAGGCGGCCGTGGCAGCTTCAGTCGAGGCATCAGCATCACATCCTTGCATCGGCATCTCACCGCCACTCCATTCCTGCCTCTTTTTTCAGCTTGGAACAGTTCTAGGAAAAATGCACCCACTTTCTCGGGATTTCTCTCACCTCTCGCATCCATAGATCCATTTGACTGTTTGAAGTCTCCTTCCCCTTGTCCTTTCCAACTCTTTTTTTTCTCTTTCTTCTTTTCTTCTCTTTTTTCTTTTTTTTTTTTTTTTTTTTTTTCCGGTACCGAAAACAGCGCTTCCCGCCTTTTTGTTTTGCCATCTTGCCTTCGGCATTGGCCATCTTCTCTTGTTCCCTGCGTGCTATGCTCTCACTAAACAGATATAACTCAGCAAAACTCCGAGGAGGAGGAGCATAGCCAGAGTGGATCAATGCATGAGAGACTCTTTGGTTTGGTGGGCCGGCCCACCAAGAGCGAATCTAGTCAGAGATCCATCCGATGATAGCGCGCTGCAGAATAAACAGACTAGAGGGAAGCAGGAACCAAGATCATATGCATCGTCTGGCCGAGACTGTCTGGATGGGCCGCGTATTGGGACGTTGTCCCTTCCTTTGACCCCTCTAGATTCCTCTCCCTTCCGCGCTTCCTCGGGTCTTCCGGCTTCATCGGTCTTCGTGCGTAGATGCCTGCTTAACGGACCCAGTCTTGCGTCCAAGGGGCCTCGAACTTTATCCACACTGCAACAAGGCGGTGGGGAAGCGGGAAAGGCTTGCCAATCGTGAAGCCCTTCTTTGAAAAGGGCGTTGACTCATACTCCCAAGACCCAGCGTCTCAGGATGTCCATTCTCCATGCGCGGCAAATCGTGCAGTCTCCCGCCCCGTCAGCGTTGGGCAGAATCGTCGGGGTAATTGTGAGGGAGCACCAGTTCTGGCGCGACGGCAGACAGGGGCGTGTGTGAATATTAACAGCAGAGGATGAAGGGAAAGTCTGAGGACTTTTCTTTTTTTTTTTTTTTGGGTGAACTGGACTCGACTGGACCCGTCTCTCGTCTCTCGTTGGCGGGCACAACACCTCGAGGCTGGAGTTGGGTAGGCCAGCGAGGCGAGAGCGAGGGCGAGGACGAGGATGAGGACGAAGACAAGAATAAACCAAACCTCCTTGGATCTGGTTACGACATGAAGTCAAGACAAGGGAACTTCAAAGGCTGTTGTACTCCTCATCAATCTTGTCTGGTGAGGTGGGGGCATTCGCTCAGATTCCTCAAAAATACGTCAATAGACACACTTCAAACAAGGCCCTATAACGAGTCCTCAGAAAGCATCGAAAGCGCAAAAGAATATTAAAAAAAAAAAAAAAAAGACTTGGGTTATGCATTCCCAAGGCAAATAGATGCATTCGTATGCCTATGCGAGAAAAACACAGGCAGTGATTTAAGTCAGGCTTCGGTATCTTGGAGTTATTCAGTCGAGCCGGCATCCTTGGTGGGAATCCGTGTGGTCCGGCATGTTTACCGGGCAGAAGGTCCGCGCCGTGGAGAGATCGAACGAAATAGCCGACGTTGCGCGCTTTCGCGAGCCGGAACCAGTCTCAGATCCGGCTGACCGTGCCGCCGCGATGGAAACAGTTTGATTTCCTCACAACTTTTATTTGTTTGCCAGGGTTTCAAAATTCGGCGTGGACTTTCAGAATAATACAAATTTGACATGTTAAAAATGGGCAACGGCTTTGCACCCCCTGAATAGAATGGATCCCGGGCACCAAATACTGAGGGTAGGTTGATTCTC